GGCTTATTTATTGATTATAATCAAATAGAGAAAGTTTGCAAACGTTAAAAGCAAGAGTATTAAAGACAGGTCAGTGAAAATTGCATCTCGTGTATTTCGCTATATACCTAGGTGTATAAGTAATCGAATTAAGATTAAGAGCAAGTTTTAGTCTCCTCGCACGTAGTACCCCAGGGGGCTTTGAACTCAACATCCAATCGAGCCGGTAGTTATTCAATTGCGTTTCGCTTAACTGGACGCACGCCATACGCTAATCGAGATCAGGATGTTTTTGGTTATCGAGCCAGAAATCAACAACTACTTTTTCCCCTCGTAAATAAGAAATAAATTCAAATGAAAGATTATTAAAAAATTATTCCTTATTGTTCATAATAAAATAAATAAATCCTTTATAAATGTTAGAAAATTGACAGTTTTCTATTTTTAATATAATCCAATAGATGGTGCTACTAACTGTCACAGTAATCGCCGTTTTATTTTATATTTATGGGGTATTTAAGACGAAAATTGTTGTTTGAGAAGTATAATGGGGCTATTACGAAAAAGATAGGGTTCCTCGTACAATGTATAACAGCCGTATATTTATGTAACCCCACACGTAAAATTGGTGGCTATTAAAGTTTCCGATTGCTGAACGAGTTTACGACTTATGATGGAGTCAAAAACGACGAACTTAATGTTCTGGGTATGAAGACTATGAGGGGAGTTCCCGAAATAACGATGTTGTAGCCGTTTACAACGTCTTGAGAAACTAGGTCTCAACTTCCTTTACATTTTTGTATCGATATTAAGAATTTGGTAATTTCTTTAGTTATCAAATAGTTTTTGGTGTTTTTGATTCTTTATAGTTGGTAATATTTTTAAATGTCACTAATCATAACCTGCAAATTTGACATATTCAATTTTAATCAAAAACAAGGATTTATTGTAACTTAATACATATAACATTGGAATTTCATCTCGTTGTAATAAAATCTAAATCTAAACCACACAGAAACACAACCGATCGAATTACTACATACACGGTTGAATGGAAATAGTTACATTCCGCCCACTATAAAACCTCGAGAAACAAAACTGTTGGTTGCATTTATTGCGTTTAAGTGGGCGATTTCCACATGATAAAATTCCCGGTGGTAATTTTTCATAATATCACGTAACTTATTTTACCCCTAACCTATTTTGTAACAAACGTCTTGGTTAAAATTAAACGTTTACGTTTTTCGATGGCGATAAATCCTGTACTTGGTTAACGAAACCCGTTTAAAAGAAAAAAAAACAGCTTGTGTTCATGGATTCAACTCGAGAAGTTTAAATAAACGTTCACAGGAAGAGATGTTTGTTTTTGGAATTGCGAAAAGAAAATAAAAAAATTGTAATATAGGAATTACATTTTCTGAGTTGTAAATGAGTTTAATTCAACGAGAATTAAGATCGATATTACTGTTGGAAAATTGGGACAACGAACTGACCTAAATTACCTTTTCGACCTAGATCACGCCTTTTTATGCCCTCGCTTTTTTTGTATTTTAGACACCAACTCGAATTGACATTTCCGTTTATGGTATAAGCTGGGAAATTCGTAAGCCCGCTGCGTGACTAATACGTACACGATTATTATTTACCTTATTAATAACATAATGGGATGATTTAAAAGATGTATCGCCAAATTTACGAATAAACGCCGTCCGAATTGGATATTTTCTTTAATAAGTTATTAGAATTACACAAATTCATAGAAGTAGTGAACATAATTTTAGTTATATTTGCATTTCATGATAAATATATTACGCGGCCAACCGGAACTTGACACGATAAAAGATAAAACACCGCGTCACCTACAGAAATATTTGTTTAGAAATCAATATTTTACAGCAAACATTTAAAAACTTATTACAATAATTTCATTCTATTAAAATTATATGGAATCAGAAATTTGTTCACCTTTAGATTTTTCTTGGTTTTTGTGATATTGTGATTATTTTATGAAAGTATAAAGAATATAGCAAAAACACAGTTGCATCATTGTGCTAATAGGGTAGAAGTCTTCTAGGTGTTTTTTGTTGCGTAGTATTCAACTGGAAACCTGTCTAGCTCTAGGATTTCTTGCTTTTCCAATTATCATCATTTTAAGTTTGTGTGTGCCATCGTGGTTTGCACAGGCAAGAAAAGTTACTCTATCCTTCGAAGTTTTTCGCCCTGGGGCTGTTGTTTCTCCGGCATGCATTAATGACCAATCAGGTAGTAATTTCTACAATAATGCAGATTCATTTGCATTGTATATTTGGCTGGGCAGTAGGTTCAGCTCATTCATTTTCTCGTTGAATTTTCGCAGAAAAGCTTGCACGGCAGATGATCACTAGATAATTTCTCTTCAACCACTTTCAAACCTACTTACCCACTCTCTGCTTGCAATAAATTTGTTATCATTATAATATTTAGAGTAAATTTGGCAGTCTGCCGATGGGAGACTACGACACCGCACTGAAGATGCCAGGTGAGATCTTGTCGACACGTCGGTCCCTTTTCAAAGGGAACCAAGAACGGATAAAATCTCGGATCGACCACAATAAAACATACTTCTCCATCCGTGAAGTACTACAGATTATCATATAAATATAAAATATACTACTACTAATAATTAAGAATAAAAAAGAATTTATTTTCTGGTATTTCAATTGAATTGTAGGTGAAATATTTTCTATCATTGAAAAATTTTACTAACTTTTTTCTTCTATTAACCGATAACAAATTACATGTAAAGTGTCATCTATTAACAATAAAGATTTATACTTCCTTTTGACATTTTACTAAATTACAATGAAAAATATCAAAAATAGATGTCATAAGTCAGGAGTTCAACCACAAAGTTCAATTATGTCTCGAAGTAGTTCTATGCATGGTTCCGACTATTTAAGCAATACAGATCATGGTGAATCGTCATGCCCTATAAGAAAATCATTAAATTTGCTTAGCTATCAAACGGATGGTTGTCAATTTGAAAAGCTCAAACCACATATTTTTGTGATATTTGGAGCGTCGGGTAACGTAGCCACAAAGAAGATCTATCCAACCCTTTGGAATTTATTCCGTAGCGATTTATTACCGCAAAAAACCTTTATAATTGGATTTTGTAGAACACAATTATCGGTGCAACAAATTCAAGAGAGAACCCGAAATCAGATAAAAATCGATCAAAATAATATGTATAAAAAATATGCGTCGTTTCACGTTACGTGTCAAGGTTATTATGATAACACCGATGATATTAAACGGTTAAATAATATAATAACACAAAAGGAAGGTGGAGAATCAAGTAATAGAATATTTATTTTGGCTGTTCCACCACCCATCATACAACCAGCATTGCTTAATATAAAAAGTACTTGTGTACCACCTGCATCAACGGTTCGTATCATATTGGGAAAACCATTTGGTAACGATTTAGAATCATCAGATGATATAAGTAATAATATAAAAGAATTATTCGATGAAACGCATTTATTTCGTGTAGATCACGATCTTAATCAAGAAATCTTACAAAATTTTTTAACTTTACGTTTTTCAAACGATTTTATTTCGGCTACGTTTAATCGCCATTATATAGCTGCAGTTTTAATTACACACAAAGAAGATATCGGTCTTTATGGGAGAGGTGGTCATTACGACAAATATGGAATTATCAGAGATACAATGTTAACACATTTATTACAAATACTTACGTTCATTGCCATGGAAAAACCAATGTCTTATCTACCCGAAGATATTCGCGACGAAAAAGTACGAATTTTAAAAATGATAAAGCCGGTGAGGTTAAGAGAAACGGTATTAGGACAATATCGAGGAAAACCTAAAGGTTTAGGTGATCAAATTTATGGTTATTTAGACGATATAACTGTTCCAAAAAATTCGATAACTCCCACTTATGCTATAATCGTTTTACAAATTGGTAATGAACGTTGGGAAGGTGTTCCATTTATTTTAATGGGTGGAAAAGCTTTGGACGAAGAAAAAACGGAGGTTCGAGTTCAATATTCAACGGTGGCCGGTGGTATTTTTGAAAATTACACAAGAAACGAATTAATAGTTACAATGAAACCCACCCCAAGTATTTTTATGAAAATCTTAATGAAATCGCCCGGTATTAATTTTCTTGTCGAAAATAGCGTCATTGATTTAACGAGTCCAACACCGGAAACGACCGGAAGAATAAGTACTTTTGAACGACTTATTTTGGACGTTATAAGCGGTACTCATTTGCATTGTATTCGTACCGATGAATTGCACGAAGCTTGGAGAATTTTTACACCTCTTTTAAAACAAATCGAAGAAGATAGAATTAAACCGCAACCGTATGTTTATGGAAGTCGTGGTCCTAGAGAAGCTGATGTTTTTTTGAGAGAACAAAATTTTGTATTGTAATAAGTTTTTAAATGTTTATTATTATTTAAATGTCCAATTTTAATAGTTTATTAAAGAAAGTTGCAATGTGGATGTTTTAACTGTACAATTAATGTTTTCGTTTATACAATTTTCAGTAGATGTTGGTTTATTTCATAGGTAAACTCAGGGTATTGCCCGAGTTATTCATACGATATATAAATGGTAGTTCTAGTTTAATTTGTTATTCACCGCTGGATTGTTGTATATTGTTATTGAACTAAAAGTAGAATTAACACTAGAACTAGAAAAAATAAACAACAATCCTGCCTTAATAAAAAAAACTAGAACTAACACTAAACCTAGAACTAGAAATATTTGGGTTTAGCCGTGAGTCTGGAGACGCACGGCTAAACCCGAAACTTTCTACTTCTAGGTTTATTGTTAGTTCTAGTTTTACACTTACACTGTCACTAGAACTAACATTAGTCCTAGAACTAGAAACATTTGGGTACGTCTCTCAAGATGGCTAAACCCTTTCCCGTATTAATCCGTTATATCAAGATTTTACTGTATTTCTATTTCAATTTTATTTCTAATTCTAATTCATTTTGTTACAGAAATCTCTATGGATTGGTCAGATCATGCATTATGGTGGCCAGAAAGAAATATTTGGTTAAACAGAACAAGATCGACATTAGATCAATACGGAGTACAAGCTGACGCCCAATTGGAATTCACACCAATGCACAAAATATTACGCCTTCAAATGCCGGATTTACGTTATTTAGATATGATGGTCGATTTCTCAGTAAAAACTTTTTCTGCTGTTATCTCAATATGCAAACAACTTGGTATTCGACATCCCGAAGAATTATCTCTCTGTAAACCGTTGGAAGCGGCGAATTTAAAATGTAATTTTAAAGATTTGCCGAAAAGAAAACATGAAAACGGGGGTGCGCACAGAAATGGGCACGTAGCTAAAGACACGAATACTTTTATACCGGCTCATAGTCCGCAAGGAAGTAATGGAAGTTTGGATAAATCGTTTTCTTGCGCTCCTATCACACCGGGAAGGGTTCCACAGTCTTCAACGCCAATTAGTAGCCCTGCAGGTACTTGGAAGAAGAATGGTTATGATGCAAACGCTGGATACTCACCAAATATGAGTTTGGAGCAGTTAAATGGAGGTCTTGATAATTCTTTAGCACAATCACCACCGACTATTAGTCCTAAAGATAGAAGTATGTTGGTTCGGCCAAAATCATTAGTTGAAAAAGCAAGAATGAATGTTGCGTAAGTAATAATAATAATAATTTATTGCCTACAGTGGGTTACAATTCATAATTCATGTAATAGTAATAATAATAACAACAATAATAACTCAAATCCTACGCTTCTTCCTAGCCAACCCCAACACCCACTTCTAGTACTTGCTCTGCACATTCTCTAATAGCCCTTGCTATTTATTAGAATGATTGATGTAAAATTTCAACTTTACCTTTTCGTTTTTATACAGTTGGTTGGATTCATCACTATCAATTATGGAACAAGGTGTCCAAGAATACGGAACGTTATGTCTTCGATTTAAGTTTTACGAATTTTACGACTTAAACCAAAAATACGACGCGGTTCGTATCAATCAAATTTACGAACAAGCAAAATGGCAATTATTGAACGAAGAAATTGATTGTACCGAAGAAGAGATGTTAATGTTTGCCGCATTACAGGTTTGATTCTTTCCTCGCTTTTTTTTTGTCATTTTTTAACTAATTTTTATTTCTAGCTACAAATTAGTTTACAAGCAAATCAACCGCAACCTAATTTCACTCCAAATAATGGTACAACGACACCACCTCCAGAAGACGATATTGATTCCGCTTTAAACGAACTTCAAACCACTTTAGAAGGATCGAGAATTTCAAATAATTACAATGACATCACCAAAGTGCCTGAATTAAACGATGAACTTCGATTTTTAAAGTAAATTATTTAAATTTGATAATTTTATAAAAATATTAATTAAAACATTTTTTTTCAGGAAAAGTTTCTTAATGAAAACATTTAAAAAATATTGGTTTTCCTGTAAAGATTTGAACTTGTACCTGTATAAAACTCGCGAGGATTTAATTCACCGCCAAGAACCTGTTATGAAAGTAAATTTAAAAGGTTGCGAAGTCACTCCTGATGTAAACATCAGTCAAAATAAATTTGGAATTAAATTGGATGTTCCATCCAGTGAAGGAATGCAAGATATGTATATTAGATGTGAATCGGTAAGGAATTTCCCGAAAATAATTTATTTTTAGTAACATTGAGTGATTTTTAAAGGAAAGTCAATATGCAAAATGGTTGGCAGCGTGTAAATTAGCAGCAAAAGGGAGATCTCTTGCTGATAGTTCTTATGATAGTGAAGTACAAACAATTACAGAGTTTTTACAAATGCAAAAACCAAGTGAAAAACCAGCCATAAATCCAAATTCTTTAGATATACAACCGGAAGAATATGTTTCACCACGTTATTTGAAAAAAATTAAAGGAAAAGTATGTTTTATCACTGATTATTGATGTTGCTTATTTTACTATTATATTTTTTTTTTAGTTAATTCAAAGGATATTTGAAGCTCATGCAAATGTAAAAGATTTGGGTCTTATTGATGCAAAATTAAATTATATAAAAGCGTGGCAATCACTTCCTGAATATGGCATTAGTTTATTTATTGTTAAATTTATGGGTAACAAAAAAGAAGATCTTTTAGGTATTGCTAATAATCGAATAATGAAAATGGATATTGGCAATGGTGATCATCAAAAAACATGGCGTTATAATACAATGAAAGCTTGGAATGTTAATTGGGAAGTAAAACACATGATGGTACAATTTGAAGAAGAAAATATAGTATTTGCATGTATTTCTGCTGACTGTAAGGTTATACATGAATTTATTGGGGGTTATATATTCTTATCCATGCGATCTAAAGAAGCTAATCAAGCATTGAATGAAGAACTTTTCCATAAATTAACGGGGGGTTGGTCATAAAATGTTTTCTAAATTCAAAGAAGAATTAATTTTTAACTCTTTGACGTGTTTTTCTTATTTTTTCCTGTCGATTTGTACATAGAATCATTCTTATTGATGTTATTAAAAATTGATATTTATTGTAACATATGTATCTTTACATAAAAAATACTTTTTAGTATGACGCAAGTTATAACATGTTATTATTGCTTTAGGGCATTTATTAATAAAATTATAAAATTAATGTTTCTCTAAAGTAAACAATTTAATTTACTACTTAATTACTATTACTATACAAAAATCTCTTAATATTTTTCTAACAGTGTATTGCTATCTATATGCCTATACATATTATACATATATATTTTATATAGTTTACATAGGTTGTGTTTGTAAAATATTAATAAATTAAACAATTAATTAAAAAATGTTTTTTTATCTTCAACATATATTATACTGTGAATTTAGTTACAAAATAGTTGACATAATTTCAAAACTTGATTCATTGAATTTGTTTATAGATTATTTTTATTTGTTTAATATAAAATTATGCAGTACAAATTGATAAGAATTTCCAAATAGATAACTAAAAATAGTAAATTTAATCGCAATTTAAATTTAAAATAATTCCGTTATGTTTCAATAGATGGCTCTCCGTCTAATCGATGCGAAATAAAAAATACAGCGATTTATGATATATTTTCGTAATTCTTTTTATATTAAATTTCTAACTTATATCTTTTATATCATATCGAAACTAAGTGTTCATAAAAATAAGTAATTTTATAATAAATAAATATTTTAGTTTTGAAATAATTAAAATGGAGTCCGGTAGAGGTCGCTCAAGCTAATCGATCAAAATTTATAAAAAATTAACCGTAAATTTTAATTAAAATATCGGAATGATTTATATTAATCTTTTCGTTATTTCGATAAAAAATAATAAGCTAAATCATATTCAATAAATTTCGTGGTAATTCAAACATACGTTCGCTGGATATTTCGATAAATAAATTCTGTAAGTAACAAAAACTTTTGAACGCCATTATAATTCGCAAACAACATGTCAGTTGCCGTGCACGTTCTGTCAAGTTGAAATGACGCTTTAAGGTGATTTACAGTGTTGAAAAGCGCGATTACATTGCGGTAAATATGCCTATAATCCTTCTATCGTAGATTATCGGTTAATATTACCGAAAGAATTAACAAGAGCGCAGTACAATATGCATGTAGATGTTTGGGTTTTTAGTAGCGCGGGAAAAAAAACTGGTAAAAACCTGCATGAATCGTTGTCAAAAAAAAACTGCATGCGAACCCCCAACTGTAATCTAAATTCGAAAATTAATGCTGTATTGCTACTCCTTCCCTTTAGGTATTACTGCAGCGATATCTCAAATGGATGGAGTAGCTCTGTAAGTATACAACTTTCACTATTCCTTACTTTTTTACAGTAAAAACCAAAATTAAAAAAAAAAACAAACAGTATAATGCCCGCCAAAGAGAAGTTGAACATCCTGAAATCATTCCTCTGTGATTTATCCAACACCCAACGCTTAATCAACAAATCCAACAAGATTAAATTATGCATCGATGATATAAATGTCGAAACAAAAGATGATGATGAGATAAAGAAGGTTGCTAATTTAACAAAAGATGTTATTGAAGAACTTACCCATGAGATTACAGAAATTAAAATTGGGTTTAATAAGTTCTATCAGAACGAATTTAGTGATAATGACCTAGAAAGATGTGATACAATTAAACCTGAAAAAGACGTTGCGAACGGCAATATAAAACCTAAAAGGGATCAAAAAATAACCAAATCTAACGAAAACATTGCAGAAAGTGATGATAATAAAGAAGAAAAAAGTTATATTAGATGTGTTGATATTAAAAAATTAATGGATAAGAATTCATCAACCCCAAAGAAAAATTCCTCAGTAATTGTTTTGTCAGATTCAGAATCACCTATAAGAATATCAGAAAGTGTTTCTGTAATTAAAATAACAAAATCAAAATCAAAAATTATTGAAAAATCTCCAACAAAAAGTGTACTAAAAACACCAACAACCACCGAATCAAACGATTCAAAGAAAAAGAAAAACGTTTCATTTCGTGACCCCGAAACAAGTGAAATTGACGATTTAGAAGAAGTACATCAAACTCAAAGTACTCGATTACATCGCAAAACTAAACCATTGGATTTACACGATTTAAGTAGTTTATCGTCCGATGATAGCAGTGGGTGTACTTCAAGTGAAGAAATTGCTCAAACTACTAAAAGAAAAGTACTAACGAAACGTAACAAAAGGATTCGTCCTGGTAGTCCAATACCTAGTAAATTAGTTAATCCAGTAGAATGTGATAAGAAATTAGCTGGAAAGTGTTACATTGCTTTGACAAGAATTCATCCTGATCTACTTAAGAGAAATTACGAAAAACTCCTCCTTAAAAATGAAGTTAGAAGGTCTGTATTTTATTAATATTAAGATTAGGTTGGGTTTGTTTGATTTTCATAATAAAGGTGATTATTTAAGTCAATTTAAGTCATTTAAGTCAAAGTAACTAAGCTTATGATACGAACTAAGAAAGAAATTATGCATTAAATAAAAACTAAAATCAAAATATTTTAAAATAGCGATTTTTTTATGAGTTAACTTTTTTTTCAGATTGACCAACATGCATTCTTTAAAACGAAACCGAAAAGAGCGACATAATTCTTCATCATCCGATAGCAGTACTTCCTCCGCTTCTAATAATCAAAAGAAACGGTCGAAAAGTATCAAAAAAAGTACAAATTTAAAATCGTCAAGCAGCGATACTGACGTGTCAAACGCGGAGAATGATTTTACGAATGCAATAATTGATAAGAGCGGTTGTATTGGAGAAGATGGTGATTGTGAAAATGAAGAAGCAATGGTTCAAGATTTATTGTATGGTATTGGAAATGAAGAGGAGGTTATTGGAGATGTGGAAATTGGAGGTGAAGAAGAAATTGGGATTGGAGAGGAAGAGAATGGTGTTGGAGTTGTAGAAAATGTTAGGTTGGCTGAAAATGCTAAGGATGAAGATGATGATGGTGTAGTAGCAGAAGTTGGTTTACAAGAGGAAGTGATTGGTATGGAGGAAGAAGTTGATGAAATCCAAACGGATCAAATTATAGAAAAAAAGGTAAACAAAAGGGATATAGAAAGTAAAAACGTATTTATAAAATAATTAACATTACATTTCTTATTTATAAATGAAGAAAAGTGACAAAACATCAGATGATGCTGTGGGTGATAAAAACGATGAAAGTAAAATCAAGAATAATGAAAAGAGTAAATGGAAAAATGATAAACTACTTACTGCGCGATTAAGTGATTCCTCAGATTCGGAAGGCGATAACAAAAAAAAGAAAAAATGTCATAAGAAAAAATCGAAAAGTAAAAAACAACAATCAAACAGTATAGAGAATAAAGATAAGGTTTGTTATATGTGTATTAACATATTAAAGGTAACTCAAAATGCTGTTTGTAATTTCCAGGGAGAAGAAGTACAAGAAAAACAAACAGAATTGCATAAAAACTCATTAAATAAAGACAACGAAAGTGATTCAGATGTGCTTTCAAAAAAGAAAAGTGATAAAAGCGACGGTTCTGGAAGTGATTTTGATGTAGGTGCATTAAAGAAAAAGAAGAAAAAGAAAGAAGAAGAAAGTGATGATACATTCGCAAAGTTTTGGGAAAAGAAGGAAAAGTTAATTGAAAAAAGGTAAATGAATTAATCAGCTAGTGTTGTTTTCTATTTCAATATGACGATTTTTTGTTTTAATTATCAGTGAAGCTGATGAGGTACCACAACCTAAAAAAATTATCAAAAGGTAATCAATAAAATGGTGTAAATGTAGATGAAGATTAGGTGTTAATATAATATTATAATTAAATGCCTCGCGCGAACAACGTGGCAAATGATAAAATGTAACAGTTGAAACAACCAAATTTTTGTTTTTTAAAATGTTTATTTACATCAAAAGTAATATGAAAGTCGGTTAGTAAAGTAGTATCCTATTAAATTAAAAAATAAAGGACCAACGTTGCTTATTCTGGCGTTTGAAACGTTTTTCCCCAGTTTTATATAGGTGTTTCTAAATTGATGCGAAAGATTTCGAGGGATGATTTTTCAACAAAAATTAAGGGGATCCTTCATACACCTTTTTGTTCAAAACGCCTTCCTCACCGAGTTACAGCCCTCTAAAGTTAGGGGAAAAATTGTTTTTATTTAATAAATCCACTGTGGAGGAATTTAGAAGAATAAAATTTGGCAGATAACTTTTAATTACTAATAAATAATTAATTACTAATTGACGATTTTTATAATCTTAAAATGTTATTACAAGGAGGTAAAAAAATCCTCCCGTCTAGTCGCTACGTATAATTAGACGAAGTTTATACAAATCGTTGGATAGGCCGCGGTGGTCCTCAGAATTGATTAGCCAGATTTCCAGAATTAAATCCATTAGATTTTTGTATTTGGGGTTTTCTTAAAACGTTGATTTATTCAACTCCAGTTGAAAATATCAATGATTTACGGAATCGTATCATCGCATCATGTGAAACTATTAGGAATACACCTGGACTATTTGAAAGAATACGAAATTCAGTGAGGCGAAGGGTAGAAACGTGCGTTGCTGCTGAGGCATTTTCAACATTTATTATGACTTATTATTGATATTTTGTTAACTTTGTTATTATTTGTTTTTGTAGTTATGTTATTATTATTGTGATATTTCTTAATTTACATATTTCTTTAACTAAATAGTAAATGCCATTCTTTCAATAAGATTTCATGCAGTTGTCCAAAATGTTTTCAGTCCATTCGTATAAAACTCTAGAAATTTTAATAATTAGTCTGAATTTATGCCATATGTGTCTGTATATTATTTTTTTTTGTGATCAAACTAACAATTTTATAAGAAAATGTCATAAAATGAGAAAAGATAAAATCTGAAATTGAATCCGTCTTTTTAAATAAAAGAATGTAGAAGACACATTCAAAACTTCTATTGCAAACTATTATAGGGATGGTTTTTTCAACCCCACATTATTATTGTTCAATTTGTTATTGTGATATTTCCTAATTTACAATAAGTAAGTACTATTCTTCAACTAAATAGGAAATGCCATTCTTTCAATAAAATCTTATTAAGTTGTGCAGAATGTTTTCAGTCCATACATATAAAACTCTAGCAATTTGAGAAATTTTTTGAAATTTGAATATTATTTGATAGAAAACATCTGAGTGTGTTAAATTGGCTGTAAATCAATACGCAAATCTACAAAGTCTTGATTTTGTTTTGCAGTCTCTGCATACATTTCATAACCTTTTTCGGCCTTTCTGTGATAAAGTTCAGCTTCTGTAGCAATTTTGGTTCGACTTTTATCATCTTCGTAGCAATAAGTTTATTGTAATATTTGTCACACAACTTACAGGTGTCTGATCTTGGGGTACCAACTCTTAAATCAAAGTCTAACTTAAATATGTTTCTAGATGTATCATACTTAATAGGTGAGTCTGAGTATTTCTCTATGTACAGCTGAAAGATTTTTTGTATAGATAGAGATGGATCAAGACATTTTTTCTTATTAGAAGATCTCGAATCGTCTATTAATTGTATCAATATGAAAATCAGGTATTTTATGAGGACGGTTTAGATGAAGGCCCCTTTGATCGTCAATTGTTTTATGGAATTTTATTTTTAGTAAAACGAAAATGATATTATGTAGGTACATATTGAAACCACACGCAATTTTAATCAAACAAAAGTTTAGAAAATTAACATGAATAACGTTAAACGCACAAAGCACGTTGTTCCCTTCGACTTATGTAGGGTTTACCTGCATCTTTTAACATCTTCTTTTTAAAACCCTTCCTATTGGTAATGTCTATTTTTCTTCTTTTACCTTTATTAATATCATTTAATTCACTTGAACTTACGTGAATTGTTGATTGTAACGAAGCCATGTTCCACGCTTTCGTTAACTAGCAGAGACAAAAACGTTATTTCTACTTGAAACTCTAAGATATGGGTAAATATTAGTATAATCAACATTGTTCCATAAGAAAATCACATTTTTGTCGTTTGCAACGTTGTTCGCGCGAGGCATTCAATTATATGCATGGTTTTTAATAATATGTATTTAATAATTAATATTTATATTTAAAAAAATTATTTTTATTAGATTTATTATTATTTAAATTATATTTATATTTTATAATAGGATTGGAAAGAAGATCCGTCGAATCCTTGCCAATTCAGATTCAGATTCCGATTATTCTCAAAATAAAGAGAGTTCAGATTCTGATTCATCGAAATCTTCAGCTAAAGATTCCGAATCTGAAATGAAAGAACCCGCGTAAGAAAATCTTTTTAAAACTTTCCCATTTTGGAATAATTACTTTTGTTTTAGAGAAAAACCGACGAAAAAAAGGCGTAGAATCAAAAAGGTCAAATCTAGTAGTGATGAAGATGGGGAAGATAAATCTACAAGAAAACAAATTAGGAAAGTTTTAAATCGAGATTCATTATCTGAAACTACTATTGCAGCTGAAAAAGAGGAAGCTGAAAGAAAAGCCCGTATATTAGAAAAACAGAAAAAGGTAAAGTTTATATTTAGAGGCTATAAAATTAAAAATATTTAATTAATTTTTAGTATAATCAAATTTTTGAGCCTGATTCATTAGAAAAATCAACTGTAGACAAAGTCGTATTAGATTTTGAAGATGATAAAGAAACCTTAGTAGTTCATAAAGATATCACAAAAAATTTAAAACCTCATCAAGCAAAGGGTATTCAATTTATGTGGAATACATGTTTTGAATCGGTCGAACGAGCACAAAAGGAATCTGGTTCCGGTTGTATTTTAGCCCATTGTATGGGTTTAGGAAAGACATTACAAGTAATTTCTTTAGTACATACCCTATTAACAAATCAAGAGAAAACAAAAATACAAAAAGCTTTAATTGTTTGCCCATTGAGTACTGTATTAAATTGGGTTGCGGAATTTAAAAAATGGCTACCCAACGAAGATGAAGAAATAAATGTATTCGATATAGTGCAATATAAACAAAACGTTGAACGATTATATCAAATAAAAGAATGGGATCGTTGCGGTGGAGCTTTGGTTTTAGGTTATGATATGTTTCGTAATTTAACTAACTCAACAGGAAAAAGAATGAGTAAAAAGTTAAAACAAGGTTTTCATAAATATTTAGTTGATCCAGGTCCGGATTTGGTAGTTTGTGATGAAGGTCATCTATTAAAAAATGAAAAAACCTCGCTCAGTATTGCAATGAATAAATTAAAAACAGCTCGAAGAATTGTTTTAACAGGAACACCACTACAAAATAATTTAAAGGAGTATTGGTGCATGGTACAATTCGTTAAGCCAAATCTTTTGGGAACATATAAAGAATATTTAAATCGATTCGTTAATCCAATCGTTAATGGACAGTATACAGATTCAACAGAACATGATATCCAATTAATGAGAAAACGTTCTCACGTTCTACATAAACTTTTAGACGGCGTCGTGCAAAGAAGAGATTACGCCGTTTTAGCACCGTTTTTACCGCCAAAACACGAATATGTTTTATTTGTTGCACTCACCAAGAAACAAATACAACTTTATAATCATTATATGAAAGAAAAAGCTCGACGACCACAAGAAGGTACAGGAAGAAGTTCATTTCTATTCGTTGATTTTCAAGAATTACAAAGAATTTGTACTCATCCAAGAGTTTTATTAGATAAAAGTATTGAAAATAGAATTGCAAGGGATAAAAAGGTAAAAAATATTTATTTACGAAATTTAACATAAAACTGCCATTTAATTTAGGAATGGGAAAATGATGAATCTGAAGGTTCCTTAAAAGATTTTATTGATGATGGAAGTGATAAAACGGATACAACGAATTCATCAAGTAGTAGTGGTTCTGATTCCGATTCAAGCAATGACTCAAATAAGAAAAAGAAAGCTGCTGTTGCAAGTCGAAGGCGAGTTACTCGAGCTACAGCAGGGCAAGGTATTTATTATTATATAAAAAAATAACCTGTTTATTTTGAACTGTTATTCCTTTTCTTCAGTATCAGAAAGTGAAGAAGATCAGGCTCAAGAAGAACTTGATCCTTTAGAATGGTGGAGAGAATTCGTTACTAATGATGATTTAGATGACATTTTAATTAGTGGAAAATTAGGTCTTTTATTTGAGATTTTGAAACATTGTGAAAGCATTGGAGATAAAGTGTAAGATTTTTGATGTATAGGCCATTTCTTAAAAACGCACTTTATTCCCAATATGGCTTAATAATATTTGAGTCCATACTATACATTATTCTTATACAGGTCTCCCTAACTAATGAAACTTAAAATCATAATTATATGAAATGAAAGAGCAACTCAAACAGTTCTGGTTATAGGTACGCGCATGCGTTAGAAAGCATCTGAGCTTGCGCATATTAATTATGATTTTAAGATTCATGTATTAAAATACTACAAAGCGTTAAAAAAATGCCTAAGTCCAGCAGCAGTGAGACACCTGAAAAAAAAACGTGACGTGTTACAGAAAAATGGAAGGCATATTTGAGCAACCCAAAATTAACTAAAAACACTCACCTCATCAACTGTACAAAAATCGTGCAGCACAGTGTTATTATTAAATTTTGTGTTTAAAGAAATGGCCTATAATAAGATTCATGATTTGGATTAAAACCTTTTTAAAACGAATATAAGCAAAAAGAAATAAGAATATGATTACTTTTTGTTTAAATTATTAAAAAATCTAATCATATCTTGCTTCTTATTAAAAATAACTTCATTATACTTAAAGAGTTTATGAACAGTTTTTAATTTAGAATCAAATTCTTAATTTGACTTAAAAAATAATTAAAAAATTTCTATTTTAGATTAATATTTTCTCAGTCGTTATACTCATTGAATGTGATAGAATATTTTTTGGCAAAAGTCGACGATGCAACTCAAAACAGCGCAAGTGGGTCTTATTGCGGATTTTCAGGGTCTTGGTCTCTCGGTTTAGATTATTTTAGGTTAGATGGTTCGTCTTCCGCCGATAATCGAGCTGCGTGGTGTAATACTTTTAATAACCCAGAAAATGTTAGAGCCAGGTAAAATTCAATCTTTAATTTGACATTTAAAATTTTTTTTTGACATTTAAAATTTTTTAGGTTATTTTTAATTTCTACAAGAGCCGGTGGATTAGGTATTAATCTGGTTGCGGCAAACAGAGTGATTATTTTTGATGTTTCTTGGAATCCATCCCATGACACTCAAAGTATATACAGGGTGTATCGATTTGGACAAAATAAACCTTCCTATATTTATAGATTTGTTACTTTGGTATCAATTTACATTTTTATTTATTTCTAATATATTTATTAACATTATTAAATAATTTTAGGGCACTATGGAAATGAAAATTTATGAGAGACAAGTTATAAAACAGGCTATTTCTAAAAGAGTTATTGATGAACAGCAAATTGATAGACATTACAACCAGAATGATATTGCTGAATTATACAAGTAAATTTAAGTTAAAAAATTATTTACACCGGAATTATTTGTGTTGCTTTTTCGTTTTAGATTTGAACCAGAACCTGAAGCTGAAAGGCCGATTCCATTAGTCCCTGTAGATGTTTTATTGGGAGAACTTCTTCAACAAGATCATAAAATCTACAAATACCACGAACATCAATCTCTTTTAGAAAATAAAGAAGATGAGGTTCTTGATGAAGCCGAGAGAAAAGCTGCTTGGGAAGAATTTGAAAACGAAAAGAAAGCTCGTCAATATTCTGGCTCGATTAATCACATCCCAATACCATCGATTGTTAGAGCTTTAACAAGTATACTACAAAGAGAATCTCCTACAATAACTCCTCAACTTATAAACGAGCTTGTACCGAATATGTTACAAGAATTGCAAGAGAAATTAGCACAAGGAGATAATTCATTGTACAACCAAGTTTTAAATGAGATCCGTTTAATGCAAGCGACGGCTCAACAACAAAGAATTGAAGAGTATTATAGATTACAACAACAGCAACAACAAAATATGTTATTACAACAATATCAACAACAATTATTATCAAATCCAGTTGCAGCTGCTCAGTTTATGAGCCAATTTGGACAACTTGGTCAACAAGCTATTAATGCAATGGCTGGTTTTTCTAGAGGCGGAGCTCGGATGCCACAACCAGGACTTAGAATGCCTGGAAATGTTGCTAGGGGAAATAATCAGCAAAATAACCAACAAAATAATCAGCAATCAAGAAATAATCAATCCAGTTCTGCGGAAATTATAGAATTAAATGACTGAATTTAGTAGTGTTAATGAGTATGTATTATTTTTTAGCCCTCTAATGATTTTAAGTAAACTAATTTATACAAAAAGTTTGACTTTTTGGGAGATTTGTGTAGAATAGTGTTTCTTTTTCAACTCTTTGTGTTAGCTATTTTACATTAATTCATTATATGTGTATGTACAAAGAAATTTAAAAGAAAAAAATAATTGTTGTAATTTATGCATTATGTTTACAACGCTTAAGGGGCTAAAATAGATATAATGTTAGGATATACCTATTTGCATAGTCTAAATGTTTGTAAAGTATCCGTAATCACAACCTTCTCAAAAATCTTGTTTTTTTCTTTGAATTTTTCAATTGTTGCGAATTGCTCATTGATTTTTTTTGTATATTTAGCAAGAACAAATTATTTATAACTGATTCCTATGATACTATTTATGAACCAGTTGCATAACTTTTTCAAATAAATTATTAAAACAATATTTACCACATTTATCCTTTACATATCCTTTTAATTTCTATATATCTCAATAAGCTGAAATTAAGATGTACATGGTGATTATTAATATCAGGGTTAATAGTTTATCTCATTACAGTCCATTAAAGCTTTAGATTACTTAAATGTGACTTAAATGAACCTTGCATTTCACCTTGACATTTGACACGCAATGCTACCAACGTTATCTAAGAATAGCCATTATTATGTGGTTAAGAAAAAATTAAAAATAATGAAATATCATTATTTACACAATTTAATCATAAAACATTCAAAAAAGTAAAAAAAATGCTATTAATTTCATAGCCCTGAAAAATAATTGGCGATAAATAATAATTATTAGTGGGTTGGTATTAAATGATTTTTTGTGGTTAAATAGCAAAGACCTCTAAATTGTTTGTATTTAATAGCTACGAGCATAAAAAATATTTAAGAAGTGTTATATTTCCCGATGGTGCTAAAACAATTAAACCCCTCCATACTACGTCCACACATATATTTATAAAAAATCTTAAACAAATCATTCAAGTTTGTTTCAAAAAAGAAACTATGGCAGTAACCCAACTAAAAATCTATTTTGCGATAGAAAACAAAACGGAAATCGTTGATATAACACCCACAACAACAGCCGAAGATATTTGTATAAAATTATGTAAAAAATTATGTATAGGAACCGTAGCAAGACACCTATTTGGACTTCGGACCCACGGCAAACAAATATTTTTGATGCCCTCCGCTACGTTTACCGAAAAAACTCGTGAATTCGATTTAAGAATACGATTCAAAGTGACTTCTATTGAAAAATTAAAAAAAATCGACATCAATGCTTACGATTATTTTTTTCATCAAGCTCGATTGGATGTCTTGGAAAATAAAATTCCTGATTTGATATTCGATAATTATCGAAAGGAACTTGTTGGGTTGGGAATCGCTGATATGTACAGAGTTATGCTTGAAAATGACGTATCTAGAGAAACTATCGAAGGAGATTACAAAAAATACATTCCGAAAGCGGTTTTAAGTAGGCATCACTTTTTTGTTAAAAAGCCCATTCGGGAAGGTTTAAATAACATAAAAAAGTCGCTTCAAGACGCTTGGTAAAATTATTATTTTCTTTCATAATAAACATATTCCAATAAATTCATATTTTTTAGGTATGTGAAAGAACAGTATTTAAAGCAACTTGATAGAATGGTCCCAGAATATTTAGCTGAAGAATATAAAGTTATGATGGATGATCGAGAGAGTATTATTGAAGTAATCATTAAAACATCACAACATGCTGAAGAACCGGGGATTAATTATACCAGTTTATCAAAAAATGATGTAAGTTATTAATGCCTAGTTAGTAATGTGAAGTTAGTTCCCAGTTAGATAGGATTTTATATGTATAGTATTTTGATTAAAACAAGAGAACCTTGGCCAATATGAAAGTGGTAATGCCAAAACACAAAAACTTATTAATCAAATCAGACAAATCAATTATCTCCTTTTATACAAAAAAATAGGCTTAAAAAGTGTACAATTGAATGTGATAGAAGGTTTTTAAAAGAATTTTAATAATTGAAAGAATTGTAAATTTAGTACTTTGCCCCTGAGAACTTTATTTATATTTCAATATAAACAACAGAATTATAGGTTGGGGCGCTTTTTGTGTGAAACTATGTACAGGTGTCCAAATTTTCCTGTACTACTCCCTGTACATCAAAAACGAAGAGGGCTATGAAAATTTGGTTTACGCCATTGTAAGTTTCACCAAAAAGTAGCTCAGGTTCGCGAAAGCCGCAACATTCTATCTTTCATAATAACTGTGATACCCTGCAAACCCATCGGAATTTGGACACCCTGTCTGTACTGGCTGTACATAGGTTTTTATTTTTAGCTGTACAGTACAGCTAAAAATATAAAATTTGAAAAAGAACACTAGAAAATCAGTAAAAACAACAATAAATTATAATAAAGGTAGAAATACTAAAACCAAAAATGAAGAAATAGATCTTCTGTTTTAGTACAAATACATTTTAAATCTGTCTATTACTTTGTTCGTTTGCTTATATAGTTTATTATGATTATACTCTATTTTTTAATTCAGAGGAGTGTTTGAAAATTGAAGCGCCAAAAAGAAGGGTTGTTATTGGTCAGTTTCAAGCAAAAATTACATTAGGAAAATTTGAGATGTTGCCGGTCTCCTAGAAACATTCGGGTTTAGTCGCACGTCTCTCAAGACGGCTAAACCCGAATGTTTCTAGTTCTAGGTCTTGTGTTAGTTCTAGTGATAGTGCTAGAACTAGTGTAAAAGTAGAACTAACACTAGACCTACAACTAGAAAATATCAGAAACTTTCTAGTTCTAGGTCTAGTGTTAGTTCTAGTTTTAGTTTAATAAAAATATACAACATAGTAATACCTTATGCTAACTAGCGCTACCTACTACTGCCACTAGAACTAACACTAGACCGAAAACTAGAAACATTCGGGTTTAGCCGCACGTCTCTCAAGACGGAACATTTTCACATTAATTTGCTCTCTAGTAATAATCCGTTTAAATAAAATTATTTTTTATGTAATTGGGGAGTAGACTTCCGGGCAGTAAAGTCGCCAGAGTCATTTAAACAACCGTACGTACTTAATTAGTAAATTTAGAGATCGAGCATTTCCATTTTCGCATTCATTGTGGATCATACTTTAGCTCGAGACGTTGATGACTAAAATTGGTCAATAATAAAAGGAGATAATTGATTTGTGTGATTAATTAATTTTTTTGTATTTTAATCAAAATTATTAAGTATTTCGAATCGGGCATTTCGACAACTGCATTTAGCCAAGCGCAAGCTTTCGATTGAGATATAAAACATTAAAATCTGTCCAACCGTTTTCTAGTTATAATCAATTTAATACAAGTTAATTTTTTTTTGTATTGGGGGCTAGACTTTCGAATCGGGCATAAAATACTATACATATAAAATAAGTGTTATTAATACATTCAATACTTCTACTTCAATAAAAGAACTAGAAAGATTTAGCCTTTAATCTGTTATACTGAGGTTATAATAGTATTAAATTTTTTTTAAGAAATGGCATAATATATGTTCATTAGAAGACATTGCATTTATATCGATAAGAGATAATACAGTTGAATTAAGCCGAAAAAATGGAATCCCAATTTATCTTTTCTTCAAGAAAGAACCGGAAATGTATTCTTTTGTTAGTTACGTTGATGGATATTATAGATTATCTGTAAAATGGACGTTTAATTTATGTAGAAATGTAATAACCCCGTCATTAGAAAAATTATATGCTATGAGATGTCATGGACCAGTTGGGTAAATTCTATAAATTTTAATTTTACAAATTATTAATGTACTTAAAATTTTTTAGAGGCGAATTCTCTTATGCTAAATTGGAAGAAAAACGAAATAATCAGCCGGGCTGTTACATTATTCGTGAAAGCGAATCAAAGTACAACATTTATTATGTCGATGTGTGCTTAAAAAACAGTTCAAAACCAAAAACTTTTAAACTTGAACGACTTGGAAGCAATGAATTCGTTTTTCATGATGATCTTACTAAATATCCTAGTATTCCAGCGATAGTTGCTGCTTACAAAAATGAAAATGATGCGATTTATTTAAAGGAGTGTTTACCACCATCAGAAACTGATAAATCACCCTTACTTTTGTGTGCAAAAGAAGATTTATCATCAGATATTGTGACGGAAGCATCAAGTATGATTTTAAAGGATCCTGTTTTTATCAGCACCCAAAATATTTTGGTTTTTAAAGGTAAGTTTTTTTTAATAATCAAGTTTATTTATGGAAATTAAGAAATTGTTTATAACAAATGAAAATGTTAATTAATCATAATTTGTCAATGTAATTTTACTAATAATGACTTTAAAGCAGATTCTTCTATACTTTCTTCAATTACGTTTATTAAGCGCCATTTTTTCAATACATAATCCATTAAAACTCGCAACAACCCCATCAACGACTCTTTCAGCTTTTAACACAACAAATTCTCATGATATAAATGTGAATTTAACGAATACCACCAATCACACACGCATTCCAGGTTATTTAACAGATTTAAATTTGTGCAAATTAACTCATCTCGGTTTAGATTATGTCGGTCGGATTGGAAAAAGTGAGTCGGGAGTTCGTTGTCAATCATGGACGACAAAAACTCCCGTTCATCGTGTTGATCCTAAGTTTACCGACGATAATTTTAGTGACTTTTCGCGTGTTCAAGCTCGTTATTATTGTCGGAACCCGAATCGGGAAGAAACGGGGCCGTGGTGTTATACGATGGATCCAGATAATATTTGGGAAACTTGTGGTGTTCCTTTATGTAGTTATTCTGAATGTAGAATTACAGGACCGGGTATGGAGTATGCGGGAACTATAGCAAAATCTTTTAAAGGTACGTTGCAACCGCTGTAAAAGAAAAAAGATTAAAAAAATCTTCATAACATCGTATGATTAAAAAAATTAATATTTTAGATAAAAAATGTGTACGTTGGAATAAAAATCGTCCAAAACTAAAAGTTAACAATGAAATAATTTCGATAAATCAATACAACAACGATTTATTTCCTGATGAAACGGTTAGAGATGCTAAAAAAACTTGTAGAAACCCGGACGGTGATATAGGAGGGCCATGGTGTTTTGTCGAAACGATTGATAAAAAAATTGTTGAAAAACAATACTGTGATGTTCCGTATTGTAATGAGGAATCATGTATGGTTTTTACGAAATCTTCTCCGATTTATAATCATTACATGTCATTTCCGAATGATTTAATTAATTTTACTTTTGGCGCAAAACTTTGGGATCCCGATTCTTATCTGAATTCATCTGCCAAATTGGTTCTTTCACTTTACCCACTACCTTTATCATCTCAACAAATTAATGATTTAGCAATTGGAGTTGAAATTTTCTTGTCAAATAAAAAGAGTGCTTTTACAGTTGGTGTTAATGATATTGAATACGTAAAAACGTTGGGATTGTTAAAATCAAATAAGTTTATTTATTTTTCGTTAACTTGGTGGCATAATATTATTACTTTAACGATTGAAGGCGGTAAGAAACCCCTTTTAATGGCTGATATAAAGAATAAGGATACGTTGTTAAATTATAAAATGAATCAATTTTTTTATTTTTCTGCAATTGGTAATAATATTCTTTGGGAGTTTCCTTTTTGCGACGTGGAAGAACAGTGTGATGTTCATACAACGACAAGTGTTGATTTTCAAAAGTTTTTTCCTATTAGAGATGTTATGCAAGGACAAGAAATTAATTTTAATATACGAGCTTATCATTCAGCTTATGTTCTCTTAGTTGCAACTCCCGCAAAAGATTACCCACAGTTTAAAATCATCTTGCAACGAGAAGGAAACATCACAAGGGTTTTATATAAACCTCACGAAAAAGCATCAGAAGCAGTTTTACACGAAGTTTTTGGCGAAATAGTGCAATACTGGACGTGGAAAGAGTTTACAATCCATTTATTTGGAGATGAATTTGAAGTATTTACATCCAAGAAGGGATTAGCAAACACATTTATATCATTTAAACATGACGATTTACGTTTAATGCGTTGGTTTTCGATCGGTTCTGATAATACAATAGCTCATTGGACTTTGTATTGTTTTCCACCGAAAGAAGCATCACCCCCAGCAGCTTATCTTCCGGAGTGCGCTTTAACACGAAGCGAAATCTATTATAACGGAACACAAGATGTTACAAGTGATGGATTTCCCTGTTTACCTTGGGCGGGACAAAAAATTATGCCAATCGATGAAATTGATACCCTTTTTAATAACGTCCAACAAAAATTGCAAGTTAGTAATTATTGCAGAGATCCTAAAGATGAACAAAAAGGTGCGTTTTGTTACGTAATTCAACAAGGAATTATTAAAAAGCAATATTGTCGTATAAGAAAATGTAAATCAGCTGAATGCAAGATGGCTGGAACCGGAAATGATTACATAGGAAAAATGAGTGTAACCCGATCGAATCGAACATGTCAACATTGGTTATCTCCGGCCCAAATGAGATCGTTAATAGAAAATGAAGCTAAAGCCAAAGAAAGTCCTCCCGAAACTCCGAATTTATTAGAACATAACATAACATCCATTGCTGATATGGTTAAACATTTGCAAGCTCTTAATCAATATTTTGACGATAATTCTTGCGATAATAAATGGAGATGCCTTAGGGGGTTGTTTGAAAGGAGGTTAATTAAAAAATCCGTTGAAAATGTTGTTGATAATCCGGTTAAAAATAGTGATCAATATGCGAATGAAAGCAAAAGTCCTCCTCATCAGGAGGAAGTAATGAAATTAGAGACGGAATTGGCTAAAAATAAAATTATTAATAAAATTGTGCAGGAAGAGGAAACCCAAACTTCCGTTTACGATTACATTTACATTCACACCTTGGCTCCTGTTTTTATTAATGAAACTTTGTATGCTGATATGGATTTGTTAGCTATTAAAAATTATTGTAGAAATCCTACTCGAGATGTTGCAGGTAAAATACCGGGTGTATCGAGACTCCCGGTATAAATCTAAAAAAATCTACAAAATTATTTTTAGGCATTTGGTGTTACACAACAGATCCAAATGTACCAATTGATGTTTGTAACGTTCGCGATTGTGATAAACCAGAAGAATGTATAATAATAGTAATGGGAGGATCAGAAGGAGGTTGCCATAAAACTTACAATTCGCAATTTCTTTTAATTTTATTTTTTTTTATATTAAATTTAGGTAGAAAAACTTTTATTCTTCCACAATGGAAAGAAGCAGGTCATCATGGTGGTCTACGATTTGCACTAAAGCAATGGAATCCTGATAGAATAGCAAGTTTATCATTTGAATTTTATCCTTTAAATCCAAGAAATGAAACGGAATCAATGCGATTAATAATTGGTGATGATTCAAACGAACGCATTGTGTTATATTACAACGGCGAAATCGTTAAATCAAAAGTTTTTTCTCATATTATATCAACGGGAAAATGGGACTCTCTTTGGTTACAAATTCGTCGTGGTGAAATTATGTTGGGTTTTGAAGGTGTTCCAAATTCGTTTTTCGAATGGCAACATGATAATATATCATTGGCTTTTATTCCGACTTTTTTAAATTATTATTCTTCTTATTATCCAATTGGTATTTATTTAGGTTGTACTGATTGTCATTTAGAAAATGTAACAACGAGTCAAGTTACAAAATTTTATCCCATTTATCTGTGGCGGGATGAAAATCCGATTAAAGCTGATGCTAATGAGTTAAATTTAAAAGTTCGAGGAAACGGGACGATTGTAATTCATTTATTTAAATTACCTAACGATCATGAATTTATAAGAATTTTTATAAATACAAATGATGGTTATGCGAAAATACAAAAGTATGTTTTGGGTCGATATGGTATAGTTTCAGAAGAAAATAATAAAAATTTTCAAATTTCAACGAATAATTGGACGGAAATAAATGTTCTTTTTAAAAACAATTTTATGAAAGTTACCACGAAAAATTATCGAACGCTATTATTTTATAATGCTGGATTGGAATTGATTTTTTATTTTTTTAGTGTAACTGTTGAGCCATCAGATGGTAATAATTGGGTGACTTGGGTATGTAAAATAAATCATGTATTCTTTTTTTTGACAAAGTCATAAAAAATAAGGTAAAAATGAGAAAGTTTAAAATCTTAATAAATTATAATCATATTATGTTAATAACAATTAAATGAAAAAAGATACAACATAAGATAGTTAGGAAATAAAGGTTTTGTGGTGTCAGAAATTTGTGGCGAATTAAACGATATATTTTTGAGGCTTGATCTAAAGTTCAATGCGAACACTCTTTTAGCAGAAGGTAATATCTTCGTGCCTTTCGGTCGTTACCAAAAATATGGCATTATCCACATAGAAAAAGAGAAACTTATTGTTCTAAATTGATTTCTAGAAAGTATACTGACAAATATTTAATAACATTACCATCACCTACATTCCGGCTTGAAAATAGTCAAAATTTTTGCTTTTATGCGCCTAGCCTGCTTAGTGAAGGACACAGTGATGAACACCAAATTATTCGGAAAGAGCGACGTAACGCATCGCTGTCCATAAAAGCTCGGAAAGCACGGAAAGAACAGCTGCCGATGGAAAGGTTATTTTATGAAGAAAAGGAAGGTATATTTTATGGTCCTGGATTTTGTGACTAGCAGACAAGGTTGGACGTTATGAATGTGGCTGGGCTACGAAGATAACACATTAGTCGAAGTAATGAAAATATCGCCACTGTACTTTAGTTCAAAATAAGGCAAATCAGTCGATTCTACACCATTGGCAGGAATTGGGAATCTCTCAAACCACATTGTGGCGAATTTTGATTAAAGATTATACACCCTTATAAGATCAAATTACTCAAAAACTGATGCGTTTTGATCATTTGATGCGTCGAATCTTCTCAAATTGGTCTCTGCTGCAGTTTGAAAATATCCCTCAACTTAATCGAAAAGTCACTTTTAATGGTGAACATCATTTTTGGCTTAATGGCTTTATCGATAAGAGCCTATAATCACAAAAAGTGGCCGTAATTTTTGTTTTCCTCAGTGATATGTTGTTCCAAGAAGATGGTGCCACATGCCAGACAGCTGGTTAAACAATTGATCTGTAGAAACACTAAAAAAATCTAAAACTTTTGGAAAATTTTTCCCAGAAACTTATGCAAAAATGTTGAAACACAAGAAAAAATGTTACAACGGACTCTGAAGTATTTGTAAGCCTATTTATGCCCTTACAAAATAATCGTTACGATTTCCTTCTTTAGGCGCCTTCTCATTTTCTTAGTAATCTTGTATTATCAACAGCAGATCTACACTTTATTGCAATTATTACAAAACTTACAACAGATCTTTTTCAAAAACATAGTCTCAAGAGTATATGGTGTACAGCAACACAACGAATAGAAAACTGGCAGTTTTAATGTGGATTCTTTGGTATTAATCAAAGAATGGCGATACATAAAAGTCTTAAACAAGCTTCATCAATTTTTTTAACTATTTATTCATTTTTATATAATTTTCTCATTTTTACACAAAAAAATTCATTACTAAAAATTCCCCTATATTATAAATAGGTAGCAAATTGTGATCCAATGGATATTGATGGTCCACCAATCGACGGAGGTTGGTCAAAATGGTCACCGTGGACTTGTACTGTTACTTGTGGTGGTGGTCAAGGTTATCGTACAAGAACATGTTCAAATCCACGCCCAAATATCTTCGGGCACCTTTGTGAAGGGTCACCTACATCGACTGGAACATGTAACGATTTTCAATGTGGTGATATAAGTCCAGAAACATTGATTATCGTCAGAGAACATTTACGTAAAAATTTTACAAGTCTCATAATAATGGAAGGCGATTCAGTTCTTATTCAAAATGATCCCGATCTTTTAACAAGAATTTCCAATGAATCGCCAGAATCTTATTACGAATGGACGTTAAATGGATTATTTATAGAACCAGAAATAGGTCGAATTGAATTTTCTGGTGATGATATTATAATAAAAAAAGCTGTAGTTAAAGATACGGGAGTTTATGTTAGCATGTTATTTCGTATAAATAAGGAAAGAGTTGTTTTGAAGGTTGTTTCTTTAGCTGTTAATACAAAAACGTTCAGAATTGATACAAGAGCCACCCGCGAAGCTATTTTTCTTACACACGCAGTCGTATTAGGGTACGTTTACACTGATTTACGACAAAAATGGTTATTAAATAACGAAATTTACATTGATCATGGTGTTACAACATTAGCAGCCGTTAGCCAACAATTTTTTTCTTCTCTAAATGAGTCGCATACAGGGGAATGGAGGTGTGTAATTGAACAACGGGATTTAAAATTTAAATGGATTACTAATATTGTTAAAATCAACGTTAAAAAAGCACCGAATTTGTATACGAATTTAATGGAAGATCGTTTAACTGCTCCATTATTTTCTTGGATGAAAACGGAAGGAACAGTTCGCGCTGCTTTAATATTTATCGTTCTTTTTGTTATTGTTGGTGTTGTTGTTGGGACTGTTGTGTTTTTTAAATATTGTACCCTGCCGAATAAATATGATGGCAGAGGGAAGAAAAATAAAAAAAGAAATAGAAGATTTGATTAAATAAAAAGTTTCGTTTTTTATTTAACAAAACATTTTATTTTAGCTGACAAAAAACAGAACGAAGATGGGGTCACTTTAATATACAGATGCATGTGGAAACACGCTAAAGGTAAAAAAATTGAAGTTGCAATGAAAACATTGAAAAAGGAACATCGCGATAAACATTTAAAGGTGAATTTATTTTATTATGTTTATATCAATAAATAATTTGCTTATTTTGTTGTTGATTAATAGGACATGTTGGAAGCAGCAGGTCAATGGTCTTTAGTCCAATCATCATCAATTGTTCGATTATTTGGTGTAACCGTGTCAGGATATCTCTCAATGATACTCGAATACATTAAATATGGCCCATTAGATGAATATTTAAGACAAAATAAAAATAAATTAAAAGAAGTCGATTTAATAGAAGCTTCCTCAGCTTTAGCAAACGCTTTATGGCACTTAGAAGATATCGGGATAGTTCATGGAAAAATTCGTTGTAAAAAACTTTTAGTTTGCAACCATGACAGCAGAGAATTCAAAGTAAAATTAGGTTTGCCAAGTATAAAAACTAGTTATGAAAAAGAAGAGTTACATTGGATTCCCATTGAGTGTTATGGAAAAGAAGATTTAGCTAAAACGTCTCCCGCGGCGGATGTATGGGCTTATGGCACAACTTTATGGGAAATTTTTAGTTATGGACAAAAAATTAAATCGATTGAATTGAATCAAATGCGCATGTGGTACAATACCGGGAAACGCTTACCAAAACCGAATACTTGCTCCGAAGATATTTACGAATTAATGTTGAGTTGTTGGGAGAAAGATCCGCATCATCGAAAGAAACCGCAGAGTATTGTGAGAGATATTAGTCATTTAATGTATCAAGTTTATGGATCAAGACGTGTTCATAATTATGCTCAAGTTAAACCACCACACAGAGGAATTACTACATCTACATCAAGTTTAGCTTCAGGTAAGAATACAAACATTTTAATTTTGTGTCACAGATTCAATCTACATACACATAATTATTTTTTAGCAAGTACTGTAGCTATGGATGAACTTTGCAAAGCAGAAAGTATGTCAGAATTAAATCAAGATGTATTATCAACCCCAAATATGAATATGGCAAGAAGAGAATGGCATTCAGTTGAAAACATGATCACTTTTGACACTTTATCAAGCGATGGATTCTCGTCATTTTTAAATAATTTCACTACATCGACAACTTTAACAAGTGGGGTTCCATCAATGCAAAGTATTTTTGAATTAGATTGTAACTATAACGTAATATTACAAGGTCGAATAGGACAAGTAAGTTTTTTTAATCCTTTTTTACAAAAAGTAACTTTTTTTTTAATTTTAGGGTTTTTATGGTGAAGTTTATAAAGGTTTATTAGAACGAAATTACGACAGTAAAACCGGACCTATACTTGTAGCAGTAAAAAAATTAAAAAAAACCGCCGTTAGTTCATCCCGACAAGATTTCGAGCGCGAAATTGAAATAATGAAAGCATTAAGACACCCAAATATTGTTGAAATACTCGGTGTAAAAAACGATGATGAAACTTTACTTGTTATGGAATATATTCCGCATGGTTCTTTACAATGTTATGTCAAAATCCATAAAGAACATTTATCAACAAAACAATTGTTACTTTACTCTTTGGGTATAGCAAAAGGAATGGAGTATTTAGGACAGAGAAATATTGTTCATCGAGATTTAGCTGCAAGAAATATTTTGGTGGTAGATGAAAATGATGTTAAAATTTCTGATTTTGGGTTGGCCCAATTTATAAACGCTGGGGATTATTATGTTCTACAAACCAATAGGGATTTACCAATAAAATGGTATAAATAAAAAATTAATGAAATTAATATTTTTGAAATAAATTCATTTCAGGTATGCTCCTGAAAGTTTAAATGAAGGTAAATTTTCAACGAAATCCGATGTTTGGTCTTATGGAGTAACTTTATGGGAAATGTTTTCGTATGGTGAAGAACCAAAACTTGCTGATGAATCAAAAAGTGGGGAACCAGAACAACAACAAATTTTAAAACTATTACAAGATGGAATTCGGTAATTGAGTTAAATTAATTGAATGATTATTTAAAACATTTTTGTTTATTTTGTAGATATCCATGTCTTACACAATTTCCTCGTTTAACATATATAAGAGTAATACATCCATGTTGGGCTTATACTCCAAAAGAAAGACCAACTTTTACAACGATATGTAAAAACATTGAGTATGAGATACAAAACGAGACTGATCTTTAAAAATCCTATTATAAATCTTTTATATTTTATTATTTTTAAATAATTTAATTTTCAAATTATTAATTTTAAAGTATATATTTTTTTATTGTTAATTTGCTTGCCAAGTAAAATAAGCTTTATATAAAAACTAATTTAGTTTTCTACCTCAAAACTTCAATTTTCGATTTAATAACCTTACAAAAAAATTATTGTTCTTTTTTTCTTAACTTTGAGATTAATTATTTTTTTTATCTTTTACTTTTAGTATGTACCTGACTTTAACGTATCAATTAAGACTTGAAAAGAAACATGTTGTGTACATAAACTGATTTTTAAAACTATAAAAAAAAATTGTATAAATACTAAGTGTCGATCAAATTGAGACAAAATATTTGTGACTTGTGCAATTATTACAATTTGTGTATGTCTTTATCTTATTAATTGTTAAAGAGAAAAGAAATTCTATGCAAATGTCATTTATTTGTGGTATTTGTATGGGTGCCATATAAATTTTATATTATACAAGATTAGATCGAAATAAAAATAAAATTAATTTTGATTTATTCAATTACGATTTTTTTTCAGTATTATTCGTTCACTTGTTTCCATTAATTCCTGCTTAGCCATTAATGTTTCTTAACAATGACAAACTAGAACTAACAATAACACTAGACCTAGAAACTTTAGTTTTTTTGAATCTCTGTCGCCTCTCTCGTCATTCTTTGGAAATAAAGTCCGATTCTTGTATGTTACGTCCAGTTTGGCCAACGTAATACTTCCCGCAACTGCACTATAGACGATAGAGTCCCGCTCCTTTTAATGGGGTTAGTTTGTCTTTGGCTATCAGAAGAGGATTTTGTATTTTGCTGACCGTACCATATCTTACCACGATATCATTCTTCTTCAGACACCTCCCAATTTGTTCCGTCACACCTGAAACATAAGGAAGGCAGATAAAATCGGCTGGTGTAGTACTTACCGAATCTTCCCTCTGTTTGCGTGGTTTGATGGCTTGTTGGATCGTTCTTCTGCAGTACATCTTGCAGGAAACTCTCTTCTTTCTTTAGGTTTTCTTTATCACATATCCTCTCTGCTCACTGGAATAAGGCTTGAATCACAGACCTCTTCCGTTGTGGGTGGTAATGGGACATAGCCTGCAGGTATCTATTCATATGCGTCTTCTTTTGATATACTCCCAGTTCCATGCCCCATCTATCTTCCTATCCACTTCGAACTTGTTTCTGAAGAAGGATACAACATGGCATCCAAAACGTCAAAAATGTTTTCAAAAGACGCATGGCTTAACCCAAAAGTTTCTAGGTCTAGTGTTAGTTCTAGTGATAGTGCTACTGTTAGTTCTAGTTTTAGTTAAATTTACTTTAGTCCTTATGAAACGAGAAGATGTTGGACAAAAGGAGGAGTAACAATTTCTGACAAAATGGCTTTATCTATTAATAATAATAATAATCATAGTTTTATTGAATAAGTATGATTATACATTGTTCTCGTCAATAATATACAGTTCGTAAGATTCAAAATATTACATATCCTTCCTTACAACCCATTCACAACCCAGTATTTATATATTAGGAAAGTTCTTGTCTGCAGCTATTCCTCAATTGAATAATACTCCTTTTCCAATAATATTCGTTTAAGTGTCTGTTTGAACCTTTTGTTATTCAACTTTTTTATTTTTGATGGCAATGCATTGTACAATTTGACCGATATACAGCGTGTCCCGTATCTTCCGCATCAGAGCATTATACGGTTGTAGAATACATTATTCTGAAGCGATCTTTCTAATAAAATTTTTTCGAAATGTTTATAATAACCGCACGGGAACTGTTTAACGACGACCAATAACGGACAACTTTGATTCATCGAAAAAGTTTATTTCTCTTTCCATGACGAATTTATTGGTGAGTATACGTGGGAAACTAGTTATCATCGGCGTAGCGGACCGGCCGAGGGTGGCACCGATTACCTGAGTCTGATTTACGATCTGCTGATTGGATGAAAAACAGTTCCTTTAAACAGTTCCCGTGCGGTTATTATAAACATTTCGAAAAAATTTTATTAGAAAGATCGCTTCAGAATAATGTATCCTACAACCGTATAATGCTCTGATGCGGAAGATACGGGACACGCTGTATAGTTGAAAGCATTCTGGAATAACAATTGGAATAGCAAGATCGAAAAATCTGTTAGTGTTTTTGTATGCAGATTTCTTTGTTGTTCTTTATCCTTAGTACCTCATTTGGCAACTTCTACTAAAAATTATCTTTTATTTTAATATCTGCATCCTCGCCATCCACTATTACTATAGTTTCGCCATCTCTATCTATCTCTACCATTGTCAATTAATCTATTTCCTCCCAACATTTTGCATGGGCCAAAATTCAAGTACGCGTAACTTTTTATTACGTTTGCCAATGTTTAATTTTGAATGTTCTTCGTGTTACGGTTGCCATTCTCAACATTCTAGAATAAACAAATTAAAAAAATTATACTTTGAAATTTTTCTCTGCGGCAAAATACTTTACGTGGCCAAAACTGGTTGTACGGACGAGCATAGTTCTTTGGCCAGTTAACGGTACATAATACACCCGAATCGGCCGTCAGACTTAACCATATAAAAAGGGACAATTCTCCTCGTATTCCGTTCTGCATACCTGAAGACAAAGCAGTGGTGGTGCAGTGGAACGGTGAGAAGTCTTTAAAATTTACCACACGCGTATGCTTTTGGACATATTTAAATACATTTGGATAGATTTGGATGCGTTTAGACAAGTTAGGGCACTTTCAAACAAATTTACATAGATTTAGACACATTTACATACGTTCAGACACATTTAGACATGTTTAGATTTAGATGCTGTTACTGGTTCAATTCAACTGGATACCGAAATAATGGTAGCACGTTATATAATAATTAAAATATCTTTATGTATTTATTCACTAGCAATTTCAATGTTATTATGTATTACATCATTTTCTAGTTTTCAATTAAAACATCAAATTTTAATAAACATAATCTTTTGAGCTTATCTAGAAAAAAGCAAATAAAAAGCTATATGACTGTTGTTTTTAATAGATTATAATAGATCCTTTGTGATCTACATTTTTGAAGATATATGCACATAAATAAAAAATCCCTTTTTTTATCATCCTTTACATAAATACATTTAATGTGACTGAGAGAGTAGAAATTGGGGGGCGTGTTTAGACTGTGTTATCTTCACTACGCAGGTGTTTGCTGTGGTATGAAACGTGAGGGGTGTGAACCGGAAGTATCGATTTATCCATCCCCAACGAAATTTTACTCAACCTAACTTCAGAGTGAGGGTGAGATGATCCTGTGAACTCCGATTTTTGTGGGAACGATTGGTGAGGATTAAAAAAGGAGCTAATAAGCTAATCGTGACCGTAATTTGTCGGACACGCGGCTGTTAATCCTGCTTGACTGTTATCTAAATTAATTAAGGGATGAATCTCTTTTCAAGGGATTTTACCAAAATGTTTCAGAAGGGAACAAAAAAGAAATAAATAAGTCTTTCTAAGAAGATTAAAACAGATCTTTGAAAATCGTGGTATATATAAGTTTATATTTTTATATAACATTGCACAAATTCACAAAGATATAACTGTATATTCTAATTTAAGTAAACTATTTTATTTTAAATAAATTATTCCTTATTGTTTCTTTAAATCCTTTTCATCATCTTTTACTTCTTTCTCTTCGTATTCTTGTTTGACTCTTTTCGTTCCCAAACTTTCAAAATATATAATCTTCTTAGCACACAAATGATTATTAGGAGCGATCATAAGTAAATTATTTCCGTTTCGATCACATATATTATTATTTTGAATAACTAAATTTCTTCTTAATCTTGCACGAAATCTCAACGCTTGCTGGGGAGTAACCGGTAATTGTTTAATAATATTTTCCTCGCATTTAATATGAGTATCATTACTTTGTTGCCATTCCAAAACATTCGTTAATAATCTAATATATCTGATAGCCATTCGTAGAATTTCATTTTTTGACAATTTTTTGTCAGGTGGATGAGTTGGGACTAATTTTCTTAATTCAGCGAAAGCCCCACTAACATTTTGTTGCCTCCATCGTTCTCGGCTGTTTGTAAAAATTTTTTTAACAACCCCTTTGGTTGTTGAAACATCAACCGGGTGTGGAACTAAAGGTTGCGAACAGGTAAATTTTGAATCACGACTTAATTTTTCATCGTCACTATCGAGCAATGAAAAATCATCAGATAAATCATCCTCATCTGATTGAGAATCAACATCGTAAGTTTGTTGAAGTCTTCGCGTGTTTGTTGGCGATGAAGATGTGCTGTAATCGGTGTTTTCTCCTTCAGCAGACCATTCCATGTCGGCTGAATTTGAATTTATTGTAATCATAGGCTAAAAATGGTTAGTTAAAATAAAATTATTTAAAAAAATTTAAATAATCTTACCATTAGTTATTATTATCAAATCAAACACTTTTAAATAATTTTGTTTAATAATTGAACTCGGGAATAACTGAAATAGTAGTGATCTCAGCATCCGTTTCAAACGTGAACTGAGAGGATGTGATATGAGTAGAAATAATATCTGTTATCTGCAAGTTACAGCAACTGTGTTGGACCAATTGGAGGTTGTTGGGGTGGAGCTTCTTGGAACGCCAGCCTTTGAAATCATCCCCTAATTTTCTGTCTCACTCCCACTTCATGTAACTGCATTGATTATCTTATATTCTTTGAAAATTGATTAAAAATTCAATAGAGTAATATCTCTATATAATGAACCTTGTTAAAACGAACATCGAGTTGTCTATATGATGTATAAAGCGAGGATGGTAATTCTAGTTTTAATTGTTATTCAGTGCTAGGTTGTTGTTTATTTTTATTGAACGAAAATTAGAACTAACACTAGACCTAGAACTAGAAACATTCGGGTTTAGCCGTCTTAAGAGACGCGCGGCTAAACCCAAATGTTTCTAGTTCTATGTCTAGTGTTAGTTCTAGATTTACTTGTTATTCAGCGCTAGATTGTTATATTTATATTTTTCATTGAACTAAAACTAGAACTACCACTAGACTTAGAAATATTCGGGTTTAGCCGTGCGTCTGAAGACGTACGGCTAAACTTAATCATATCTTTTTCAAATGTATCTATGTTCGTTAGAAGGGAAATTTGTTAAATGAAAAGATGTGCGTAAGAGTACGAATTTGCTATACTTGTCTTTTAAGCGGTGTAACTTTGTTGACCTTATTCTTGACACGAAAATTTCTAATAACTCTACAGTAAGTAATCACTAGGTTAACATTAGACAAGCTGGGGTACAAGTTATCTTAATCAATATTCAAAAGAAAAATCATTCCAAAAAGCAAGATCTTGCTCATTTAATTCAAGGAGCGTTTTTAACAATATCTAATATATATAAAGCAAGTTTTAATAATATCTTATCTCTTGGCAGCAGCATCTAAGCTTCAACAAACAATATGTTGTGTATATTTAATCATCCATTACCAGTATCTGGTTCTCTTCCAGCACCTAGTATTCTGCTTATAATGTTTAATCTTCTATAAGTATTAAGAAGTCTTCTGCAAACAGTATCCAGTCTTTTATAGCCAGGATTTAGTTTGTTGCCCGTAGTGTCTATTCTTTTGCTAGCCGTATATTGTTTTTTATTAACAGTACTAGTCTTCTAATAGCAATGTATAGTCTCTTATTGGTACAGTCTTCTGTAATCAGTATTCAATTTTCCATTAGCAAAATGTAGGGTTTTCTTAGTAGCAGCTGATCTTCTGCAAATAATAGTCATCTGTAAGCAGGTTCTAGTCTTTTCAGACCAGAATCTGGTGTTTTGGAATCAGTATTCAGTCATTCACTAGTAGTATTTAGTTAGTCTGCAAGAACTAAGTTATCTAAGCCGTCTTAAGAGACGTACTGCTAAACCCGAATGTTTCTAGTTCTAGGTCCAGTGATAAGGAGGAGAAGGAGTAAGGGATAAGAAGGAGTTCTAGTTTTAGTTTAATAAAAACGTAACTCTACAAGTATACATTTATACAAGTATACAAATATACATTTTTGTTGTGTTAACCTAACATTTAAAATTTAAAAGTAAGATAACTTATTTTTCTATTCAACTTTTTATTTCAATTTGTTTATAATTTGGGTTACATTTCTTTTATAAAAGAGTAATTACATTGCACCCTATTGATACTATGAATAATAAAAAAAGGTGCTTTTGAAAAACTGGTCGCGTGCCATAGTCCAAGAGGGGTTTAGTTTTTTTCTTTATCTGAACGACACACGACCCTAATGCGCTAATAAAAAGCTTATTAGATTTACAATACAATAAAAACTGGTCTCTAAATAAATGTTTAAAATGTATATTTTATCTATTTTTTTTTAACTTTTCTTTTAAGAAAAAATACAAGCAACAAACATTAAGTATTAACAAAGTACCTACTTATTGACAAAAGAACACCCTTGAGAGATAAATAAAGGGGATCTTTTTTTCTGGTGACAAGTTTTGACAGGGTTGACACCACACCACTTATCTCACCGAAAACCATCGATGCGTCAACCAGATAGGGCACAAACGATCTTTATTTTCTCATAGATCCTATGGCGCGTGTAATTTGGACAATATGTGTATGAATATGGTTAAGAGATTAACAACGAAAAATTGTAATCAGTTCCCACACAATTTTAACACGTTTCCTCTTTATTTTTTTTTTACATTTGTTTTTCATTAAAATATATTTTTAAAATTTTTACTGATTTGGACATAGATAGCATTATTCGTCCAATAAGAAGTAACTCGATGACATTAACATGATCAATAATTGTTGTCCACACATAATTCCTCAAATAAAAGATATTGTCAATTCCAGCATATCAAACTATCAATTGCCTAACGTCTGGAAAAAGTTTTTTGGCAAAAAATAAAAAATCCTCATTTCTTTGCTGACCTGCAACCGATCAGTATCTACAGGTGTTGTCTAAGGTTGGAGAAGATTATGTGTTATTATGTATTATTGAAATGAATTGTTATCTGAGGTGCAATCTAGTTTGGGTCATAGCTGCACCACCAGATTGTTGAACATTATGGATGATATTCTGAGGGCATCTGATAACGGAAAGGTAATTAATTTGTGATGTGACTTGACTATTCTAAAGCCTTCGATAGAATAAGACAAAAAATGTTGTGTTTAACATTAATTCATATAGGGATAAGTCAAGAAGTAGTCTCCTGATAAATTGTGTACTGTGAATTGTATTATTATTTTAAGCATAGTTGCCTAAATTGTTGACCTCGGATACTCATTCCAAAATGTTTCGTATTTTAATTGAGTTGGATATACCTGTAAAGGTGATCATCCAATAAATCAATGAAGCAAGTTGAAACCGAGTTCATCGATAGTCAAACATGTTAGGCTTAAAACTTTAAAATGGGGAGCTTAAAACATCAAAATTAATCTCATATAAATTGTTTGGGTTAGTATTTATTTACAAACATGATGATGATTATTCCTAGAATTTTATTATTAGTCAAGGTTTGTTTAAAAAAATTAAATTTCGTTACTAAATAATTTTCGAATGGAAAAGGATTTTTGGTAAAAGTTTTGAGTATAAAAAGTGAATGGATTTCCCTCAAAAAAAAAAAGTATAAACTTGCCGACCTTCATTCTCTATCTTTGCAAATTCTGTAGAACGTAAAGCGGAACGTGGTGACTGTTGTGGAGAGAAAAGCAGGAATCCGTTCGTTTCGTTTAGTAGTTGTAGAGAGAACGCCAGTAACGTGTCTTGTCGTGAATCAAACGGATCGAGTGTTTTAAAACAACGGTAAACATGTCCATAAAATCAATAAAATTACTGTTTTAAACACAAACCTAAACAACATTTAAACTAAACCGATTAAAAATTATACCAACACAAAGTTTCTTATAAAATTTATTAAAAACCAGTGATTAGATCCGATAGTTTGCTTCAATCTTTGGTATTTAAAACCTCTACGGTGAGTTACAGATGGAATACGAAACAGCGTTTTAACTTTCTCTCTGTGTCTGTTGATTAAAAAAAAAGTTTTAAACTAACCAACATTTCTTACAGCTGTTGTTATAATTTTTGTTATTTAAGTTATCTTTTTATATAATACTTTGTTGTGGAAATTGTGTAATTGAGTTTTTCTTGGAATTCGAATGATTTTTTAAAATTGTTGCGGTGATTATATAAATTGTGGTTAATTATCAATGATTAATATGATGAGGTTGAAAATCTTTATAAACAATAAGTATTAATGTAGATCTAATAAATGGTAAGTTATCTTGTAAAATGACCCATTAAGAGGATCGAAATTTTAAATATTACATAAAAAGGATGAAATATAAAAATAACTTTTGTGTATAACGTCGGTTTAAAGTAGGTCAATTTTGGTTCGAATTGTTATAATTAAGAGTTTCTTGGAAAGTATACATAAATTAATTTGTGTTTATTGACAGGTATTCTATAAGAGAAAGCTCTAACTTAGAAAATTTTTAGAGATATTTCAATGTCAATATAAGATTTTCTAAATTTAAGAGGATAAAATGAGTTTAACTACAAGAATGTGATTTTCTGCATCAAAATAACATTTTGAAAGTCTAAGCAGAACTTTTTAACTTTATAAATGTTAATAAGTAGAATATTATTTAATGATTTCATATTACCACGTTGTTGATTCTGTATAGTTAAACTCTATAATTGGATTCAATAATAGAGAGAAATTTACATAAATTGTTTGGTGAATAATCTGTTTTAACATACTTGTCTTATTCAGTAATAATCAATGTTATCATAAAAGAGCAATAACAAAACAGCTATTTAATCGTATTATACTTTCTTTTCAAACTAGGAGTGAATACAAATGTTAGAATTACACTACGAAATATCATCAGAAGATATTACTAGAAAAAATAAAAAAAAAACATTTAAATATATTTTAATTCCAAAAAGAACAGATTTTACTCAATTAAATTGAAATGTATTTAGAACACAAAAGGTACATGATTTGTTCTGATGTGGGTAACCTAATCTATAAGTACAAAGCGCTGTCAAAAATAAAGATAAATAAACTATTACCAATCTAATCAAGAACAAGGTCTTCCAATTATAGGGTCCTCCAATTAGAGGTTTAATTTTAAATTAAGATAAAAAATCAGTATTTGTGTAAAAAGCAGAGATATTTTTATTTTTGTGCAATTTACATACTCTGAGGGTATTAATGGATCATATTTTGATGAATGACCGTTAATATCTCCATTTCGAGATATTATACGTCCCTGAAACGTGAAGAGATATTAAAAGAGCATTGTAATAAAGATATCGAACATAAGAAAGTAACTCCACAAGAAGACAAAGATAATAAAGCATCATGCAACTTACTGCAAATATCCTTTATTTCAGCAATTGAAGCATCTGGCACCTCATGCTCCTCCTCTACAGTTTTCACCTGCTCACGTTGCAATTCCTTCTCAAGTTCTTCTGGAGTGAGTTATTGACCACATCATCCTCGATGATTTCGAACTCCAAACATTTTCACAAGACTGAAATGTCTGTCAGGCACAGAAGTTAGCCAAAGTTTTCTTTATGCTGACTGCAATGTCAAAGGCATTGTTCCAGGCTTTATCAAAGAAATGTATGTAGTGGATAGTATTAAAATGATTCTTCCAGAAATCTTACTGGGTCAAATCTGTATCATTAAGTTAAAGTTTGAAATTACTTCCTCATCCATTGACTGTAGTAAGGGTGTGGTGTTAAGTGACCTTAAGTTGTATACAGGATCAAGGTCTTCTTCAATATATGGATGAGCTGTAGTTGTGTATAAGTTGCACACATTTAAGAGGCAGTTTTTTTCTATTCCTTAAAAAAATTAATCGAAAGGGGTAAATCATGATATATTTTTTTGAAATAATTAGAAAATAGAAATATTTTTTGCCTCAAGGTTACATGTTATTCGTAGGTATTATTTTTACGTGTTCTGTCAACAAATTTGAATAGACAAAGTTCAAGGATTTCAGGAAAACATATAAGATTGTAATTTTTGCGTGTTTGTATTTTGATACGCAATCTTCATCGATCTACGCAACTTTTCATTACCCACAAAAATGACCTCATAATAATCATCAGATATTGATTAATCTTGAAACTCGTGTATCTATAATTTAATTTCCGTTTGAGCTCATTTTTATTATTATTATAAAAACCGTGAATCTCCCACTTCATAAACTAACAATACTCTTGGGAATTGTTATAGAATTTGCATAAACACACACGCAATTTACTGTTTTTTCTCCTACTTCCACGAGCTTTAATTAGTTATCCTAGTAATGTTTTTACCTTGTTTTTATAAATTGTTTGGATTTTCCAACGATAAACATCGTATAATGCATACTGATCGCTTATTTAACAATTTTAGTGGATATATTTTTTTTTAAATAATGAGTCAACAATTTACTAAAAAAAGTATGAATAATGAATTTTACGGTAACCTAGAAATAAACTACAAGATAAGATTAAAATGGAAAATGGAAATTATTCCATGTAAATGCGAACGGGTGTTTTTTTGTACCTTTCTAGTTTTTCGCAACAGGACAATTGGTCAATTGTCTTTAATTGCTTTGAAACTACTTTTAACAGACTTTCTCTTTATAAAACTCAACAAAACCTGAAAACTATTCGTTAAAATAATTAGTGATTTAGTTCTAATTATTTCCGCATTCTTTAAATAATTTTTTAACGCAACATGTTGATCCAACCCAACTATATTTTTCTTTCATTCTCACAATCTTATTGTTTCTTTTAAAAAAAAGGTCACACACAACATTAGATTACAAATAAAGACCATTCATTTATAATTGTCCTTCTAGATTATAACATAATTAGCAATTATAATTAAATTATGTCAAATCGTGTTCTCCTACACAAAGATATTCACTTATATGAACTTTGATATTTCAAAGAAAAAGGAAACAAAATAAAATTATAACTTAATGTTCTCGATCTTGTTTTCGTTATGGTATTGTGTGGTTTAAAGTTTTATCTTTTCCTGTTTTCGAAGGTAACGGTGCAATAAACGACTGTGACACACTACAACACACACCTGCAAATAGAATAACAATGATCGTTGTCCTTGGTATAAAGCAGTGAAAGTTAGCTATATTTTTAAAAGATGTTTTAAAAGGTATTATAATGCATTAAAATCTCAATACAACGGATTAATATGGGGAAGGAAGTTCAATGAAAATATACAACCATCTAGCACTGAATAAAATCTAAAACTAGAACTAACACTAGCATTAGAACTAACACTTGACCTAGAACTAGAAATATTCGGGGTTAGCCTTGCGTCTTTAAGATGGCTAAACCCGAATGTTTCTAGTTCTAGGTCTAGTGTTAGTTCTAGTTTTAATTTAATGAAAAATATACAACAATATACAATATAGACAACTCGGGGAATAACCCGAGTTGGATTCTATCTATGAGCTGCTTTATATCGAGGTTTACTGTATTATAATCATATAAAAGTAATAAGTTACCCTTTTATCCATTTTTTACAAAGAAAATAATTCCACAAAAAGCAATAAAACTCAAAACTGAACGATAAAATCACCCCATAAAATTATTCGAACTAAAAGATTTAGATTTAATCTAACCTAAATTCTAACCCCTAGTTAAATTTATTTCTCGATTATTTAACCCAATTTCTTGAACGTGAACGACCTTTTAATACAACAAGGGGTTAAAATAGGGGTTGTTGCCAAGGAGTTAACTACAACAAAGCGTGCCGTTCTCGTTCTTATTAAAAATGTTGCGTTGGGGTAACGTAAAATGGTAGTAGTTGTTTGGAATTAGTTCTGAAAAGTACAACAAAACGGACGGTTTTAAGATGATTCATAACAATTGTAGATAGTCTATTTAAAAAAATTATTTTGATAAAATATGTAATGAATGAAAACCGCCTTGATGGTTGGCCTGGATTTCCCCAAGCGGCAAGCAATTCTAAAAACTCGTTCGCATTGAACTGCGGCCGTCAAAATTCCTTGGAAAAACTCAAGCCTGAATGTGAGTCATTTTAAATTTTTAAAGATAGAGGATTAAAAATGTGGTTTGGTTTAATTTTCAAAAGTGTATCATCGGAAATTTTATTAATAAGTCAGACTGTTAAAGAAGATTATAATTGATAATACATATTCTAATGCTTGTTATGATGTCATATTCAATTGCAAAGTCATGCTGAAAATGACTCATTTTCTTTTTGATTTAAAGATATCCAATGGAATTTTAATTGAAGCTATACTCCACCCAATGCAACAATTACGTTTAACCTTAAAAAAGGTTAAATCTTTAAAGCATTTTTTTTATTGCTTTTTATTTTTAAGGTCAAATCCTACACGATTTTATAAATAGAATTGTTCGTAGATAATTAAATGATTCACAAAATAATATTTTCCTGTAATTAAAGGAAAAATTCCAAGAATCTAAATTGACTGAAAAACTTATTCCTATTTTTTGTTTTGAAAAACTCCTCATTTTAACATTCTTGACTAAGCTACATTTTATTGTTTTTACAGATTTTCATGCTGTCTGGTAGGTAAAGGTGTAACTTATTTCAGAAAAAATGCAGAATATCGAAAGACCTAAAATACTATTTGTTTTAAAGTTTTTTTGGTTTTTTGAATGCTTTATATTCAAAAAACCAAAAAGTTCGAACTTTCTACTTTTAATTTTGACATATTTGTCAACTTCATAAAAAATCCTTTAAAATGAGTCCAAACTCGACGTATTTAACTTTAATAGTAATGAAAATACAATCACTTCCGGTTTGAAACGTCAACGTCAATTTTGACATATTTGTCATCCTCATTAAAAAACCTTTAAAATGAGTCCAAAGATGACGCACTTATCTCAAAAAACAAAAAAGTTAGAATAAAAAACATTAAACCCGAAGTTAGCAACAATGAAGATAGCAATTTAATTTTTAAATATTAATACCAACCTTAATTTTCGATTTTTTTTATTATATTTCCGTGTTTGTGACAAATTTTAACACATTTTATAAAAATTAAGAATATGTTAAAATGACATTGACATTTCAAACCGGAAGTTGCGTATATCTTGAGTAATATTGGAATTAAACGTATCATGTTTGGACTCATTTTAAAGGATTTTTCACGACGATTACAAATATGTCAAAATTGACGTTGACATTCTTAACCGGAAGTTGATCATAACTTCATTAATATTGAAGATAATTATGTCGTGTTTGTACTCATTTTAAAGGATTTTTAATGAAGATTACAAATATGTCAAAATTGAGGTTGACATTTTAAACCTGAAGTTAATTATCACATAATAGAAGTTTTATAACTTAGATTAATCTAGTGTTAGTCACTTTTTCGCACTTTCTTTTTACTTTTAAAGTGTTTTTTGGGTCATTTTACATTGATTAAAATCTAGATTATTTTCTTCATAAATTTTTACACGAATCGTCATTATTTTGTCTCTAGTTTTATTGATTAAATTTATGGCACGACTTACAGAAACAACCTGTTTAATCGTAAAACGTAACGAGTGACCAAGCGGCTTCTGTGCTTGTGATAGCTATCATCAGTGTTCTGTGATAAAAATTGATAGACACCAAACAATTTTCAATAGTTTGAGCCTGTCTATTCTGAGAAGTCTTATATTTTTAGAGAGATAAAAACGAAAACGTGGGCATTTTAGCCTATCTTAACCGATAGGCAGTACTCCACTAGTCCTGGGACATACTTTGGAAAACCCTCCGGGATGAGTTCTGGCGAAGACCATCCACGGCATCTTTGCCTGGTACTCTGGTGAATAGGGATTCCTAGAATAGATAGGATCTAGCTTCATACTCCTGATTGATTGTACAAAATGTGACATATCACTCTGTTTTACCTGTAAAAGGAGACAGATTCTTGGCAAGGTGTTTTGCTAGCTGATAGGTGGAAAAATTTATAGCACTGACAATAGGGCGTAATGGGACCTCTAGTTTATGGATTTTAGGTAATCCATATATCCTTGATAGTGCTAATGTTAGTTCGAGTTTTAGTTTAATTTCTTCTTGTCTTGCAACTTCTACAGTTGTATAACAAAACTTTGCAAATAACTTTAAAACTAGTATCTTTCTGCCAGAATTCACCCCTAAATAATTATTTACTTTATTTCTTTCAGAAAATGTTTTCCCTTCATCTTCAAAAACTTATTCTTATCTACACACTCATCAACAACGTTCAACCTCTTCCCGACGGAGCACCACCTATAGTTTGCGCTACAATGATGCCAAATCACAGTGGAGTCACACCTCAAACAACGGAATCTCCATATATTTTACAATTAAAACCGAATATTTTGGGTGTTTTGGTTACGATAGGTCGCGAAGACTTCGAAGGTTTCATGTTACAGGCACGAAATCCAAACGGACAAATCATCGGAACGTTCGAACCAACTCCTAACTTAATTAAAACTATAGATTGCGACGGATCCACGGATAATAGCGTTACTCATTGGTCGACGTCACAAAAGAAGAATTTAGAAATTCAATGGCATTCTAATAGTTATGAAGGACCTGTTACTTTTAAGTAAGAAACTAAAAAAATCATATTAATGTATCATAAAACAATTTATTTGTTTTATTTTTTTAGTGCTACTGTGGCTCAAAATTACGCAACTTTTTGGGTTGGAATTCAATCCCCAACAATTCAAGTATCCCGTTCTAAAATAACTTCAAACACCACGCCGTACTTTAAAGCTGAACCAAAAACGGAATCATCAACAGAATTTGATCCATTTTACGACGGTTGCGGTACGAAGAAAACTTGTTTTGGTGCCCCAGATGGTTGTTTGCAATCAAAAAATTGTAAAGCAATCGTTGCCGTTAACGTTTACGGGGAACGATACGAATTTGAATTAAAATCCCATAATACAGCTTCTTGGGTTGGAGTCGGTTTATCTCAAGATGATAAAATGGGCGATGATTCAGTGATTGAATGTGTTAAGGATTCTTCCGGCGGTGTTCAAGCATACATGTCTTGGACGAACCCAAGACCAAATTTGGGTGTTTTTAGGCCTAACGATCAAAGAGGAATTAAGTTGTTAAGTTCTTCGATTGAAGATGGAGCGATTTTTTGTCGAGTACAAAGAGATGCTATTACAACTGTTAATGATGTACAGTTTGATTTAGTTAATACGAAATACAATCTCTTGGTAGCTGCTGGTAAAAGTATTGATGCGAATAAAGTTGGTTATCACGACGTTTCTCGATTGGCAAGTGGTGATAAATTATTGTTATCGGACATTTCTTCGTTGGAGGGAGCTTCAAAAATTTTATTAAGATTACATGGAGCTTTTATGTTAGCTGCTTGGTTAGGGACTGCTTCAATTGGGGTTTTATTAGCAAGATATTATCGACAAACTTGGGTGGGAACTACAATGTGTGGAAAAGATTTATGGTTTGCAGTAAGTGTTTAAAATTTTGATTTGATGATATGAACTTCACTTATGATGTGATTAACGCTTTATTTGGTTTTAGTGGCATAGATTTTTTATGATATTAACTTGGTCATTAACGATAGCCGGATTTATTTTAATTTTCGTTGAATTAAAAGCATGGTCATCAGAAGATAATCCTCACGCGATTTTGGGTATAATAACAACGATTTTGTGTTTTATCCAACCAATTGGGGCTTACTTTAGACCACATCCCGGTACTTCAAAGAGGCCCATTTTTAATTGGTTGCATTGGTTGTGTGGAAATGTTGCTCACATTCTTGCAAGTAAATATATTTATTTTGTATCGATTTAATCGTTTTTGATTAAATGTTTTTTTAGTTGTTACCATTTTCTTTGCTGTAAGACTGACAAAAGCTGAACTTCCAGAATGGATGGATTGGATTTTAGTTGGATTTGTAGCACTACATGTTATTATTCATATTGTGTTATCGGTAATTAAACAATATTAACAAAGAAATAACTCAAATAAACTTAATTTATTTTTAAGATATTGAACGCTGCTTCTGAAAAACAAGCTGAAAGACGAGTAACTTCATTTCCAATGAAGGATTTAGGTGGGTCAGGAAGGACTTCTGCTTATTCTGATAGAGGAGGGGATGCACCAGTAAGTAGTTATATCTTAGAGTTTGATTTTAGTTTAATTTCTTTTTTAATTTGCAGTATTCAAAATTAAGAAAAACGTTATTGGCCCTTTACATCATATTAATCCTCTGCATCGTGATAGTTTTAGTTTTTATTTCTGTTGTTGCACCAGTTGAAGCATTCTGGGATAAGGTGAAGTCGCAAATACAAACCGATGGCAACTAAATAATTAGTTATTAATCAAAAAAGTTATCAGTACTTAAATCTTACTTTTTTAAGTTGAGTGTAATTTTCTTTATTTTTATTTCTTTATCCCTCTAATACGCTGCAGTATTGTAAAGTTTATAAACTTAGAATTACGTTCAAATAATTCCACGAGTTTTTTATTACCTTCTTTTTTTATTTATTACTACTTAAACATTTTTGTTTTGTACAACCATTCTTGTTATGATTAGTGGATGCATTTAGTTTAGATTGATGTCTTGTTTTATCTTGTAAATATATGAGAAAGAAATACATTGTCTACAAATTGTATTTTTTAGTGGTGAAACGGATATCCGGCAACTACCCGGTGTCTGGTCATTTTTTAAAATCCCGCCCGATACCGGATAGTTACCAAATATCCGGCTTTGGTTGGATATTAAAAACCTATTACTTACTACTCCACCATTCCCAGGAATTAGTATCTCTTTTAGGTGTTGGACACTGCAGATAACAACCAATTTTTGAAATAATCAACAATTTTTTCGAATTTTGGAATTTTCGCCCATTAAGTTTCAAAAATTCGTATAAAATCTATATCTTGAAATATGGGTATGAAAATTTCCCAAAATGTTAATAAAAGTGTCCTCTTTCCAATGAACCAACACGTTTTGAAAAATAACTTTTAGTTTTTGAGAAAACAATATTTGAAGTTTTGATAAAATTTTCGATGTTGCAATTTTCATCGATAATTTTCAAAATTCGCTATAAAATTAATTTCTTGAAGGATCCTTGTGGAAATATCACCAATTATTAATTATAGTATCCTCTTTGTAATGCAAAAAGGCGTTTTGAAAAATGACGTTTAGTTTTTGAGAAATAAATGTTTGAAATGATCGACAATTTTTTCGAATTTTGCAAGTTTCACCGATTAAGTTTGAAAAATTCGTATAAAATCCATATCTTGGAATATAAGTTTAAAAATTTCCCAAAGTGTTAATAAGAGTGTCCTCTTTCCAATAAACCAACACGTTTTAAAAAATAACTTTTACTTTTTGAGAAAACAATGTTTAAAGTTTCGATCAAATTTTCGATGTTGCAATTTTCATCGATAACTTTCAAAATTCGCTATAAAATTAGTTTCTTGAAGGAGCCTTGTGGAAATACCACCAATTATTAATTATAGTATCCTCTTTCTAATGCAACAAGCCGTTTTGAAAAATCATTTTTAGTTCTTGAGAAATAAATTTTTGAAATAATCGATAATTTTTTCAAATTTTCAATTTTCGCCGATTAAGTTTGAAAAATTCGCATAAAATCCATATCTTGAAATATGGGTATGAAAATTTCCCAAAATGTTAATAAAAGTGTCCTCTTTCCAATGAACCAACACGTATTGAAAAATAACTGTTAGTTTTTGAGAAAACAATATTTGAAGATTTTTATTTGATAACTTTCAAAATACGCTATAAAATTAATTTCTGGAAGAATCCTTGTGGAAATATCACCAATTAGTAATTAAAGTCCTTTTTTTTGAGTTGCTTCGTTAGTTAAAGAAGCATTAAAAAATTCATTTTGTATCTTGGATCCAAATAAGTTGACATATCTTATCAGCTTTCTTATAAATTTCATTTTTATTCAAATATCGCAATAATGGAAGTGATATGAAGTGATACCAATGAAAGAAATCCTCCGAAGGGGATACCCAATATCCGGTAACCGGCTTTTCGCAAAATCACTATTCGTTCCATCACTAGTATTTATCCTATAGCCTAACATTAAAAAATTAAATTATTCTATTAAAACGCTTGGTGTTATATTGCTAGTTACAGTACAGCGAACGGCTCACTGGGCTTATGTGGGAATAATTATACCCATGGTCGCCTTTTCGTCATGGTATGCAGTTGCCTATGCTTGGTGGCCAAAAACGAATCACAAGACAGTACAACAACAACTGGCACAAATTCAGCAATTAGCATGTCTTAATATGATAGGTGCAATAAGATCTTTTCCACCGGCTGCTTTTGAAGCCCTACTCGTTCTCAAGGGTATCACAAACACAAGTATTTTCGAGTCTTTCTAATCAGCAGCAAATGAGTGTAAGTTCAAAAAATTGTCGAGAGCTTATGTATGAAAATAAAAGATTGAAGTAGAATAAAGTATAGCAAAAAATCTTTTAATGAAAATTCTTTCTGGCATAAATGTCAAAAACCAAAATATTTCCGAGTCATTTCTTCTTCTTCTAAAATAGGCTAAAGCATTTCTATCATTCCAACTTTATCTTGGGCGTCCAACACTTCTTCTGCCCTCAGGTGATTTGTCTCTTGCTACTTGTACAAGTCTGTTCGATACCATTCTGTTCATGTGTTGGTTCTTGGTTCTATTCTTATTTTCTGTTTAGTACTCATTCGTTAATATTCTCTATTTTACATTCCTTTCGGATATCTTCCCTTCGGTCTCTGTCCAATAAGATTTNTAGGGTATCACTTCAGAAATGCACAAGAAATTATAACCATAATGGCCGGATAGATATGCCGGACAACCGGGTATCCGGCCGAAGGTGATGCCGAATATCCGGTATTCGGTTTTTCGCAAAATCATTATCCGTTCCATCACTAGCATTTTTCCTATAACCTAACATTAAAAAATTAAATTACTCTATTACTATTATAGCTATTATGGTTGGTGTCATACTGCTAGTCGCAGTACCACGAATGGCCCACTGGGCTTATGTGGGAATAATTACACCCATGGTCGCCTTTTCGTCATGGTAGCCAAAAACGAATCACAAGACAGTACAACAACTGGCACAAATCCAGCAGTTAGCATGTCTTAATGTGATAAGTGCAATGAGATCTCAAGGGTATCACAAACACAAGTATTTTCGAGTCTTTCTAATCAGCAGCAAATGAGTGTAAGTTCAAAAAATCGTCGAGAGCTTATGTATGAAAATAAAAGATTGAAGTAGAATAAAGTATAGCAAAAAATGTTTTAATGAAAATTCTTTCTGGCATAAATGGCAAAAACCAAAATATTTCCGAGTCATTTCTTCTTCTTCTAAAATAGGCTAAAGCATTTCTATCATTCCAACTTTATCTTGGGCGTCCAACACTTCTTCTGCCCTCAGGTGATTTGTCTCTTGCTACTTGTACAAGTCTGTTCGATACCATTCTGTTCATGTGTTGGTTCTTGGTTCTATTCTTATTTTCTGTTTAGTACTCATTCGTTAATATTCTCTATTTTACATTCCTTTCGGATATCTTCCCTTCGGTCTCTGTCCAATAAGATTTTCCTCGAAATCGTTCCAAAAATTTTCATCTCAGTTGTTTCAAAACGTTGTTTTTAAATCAAGAATGTTTTTAAATAACATTTTGTATTGCCATCTCTCTGAATATTCATAAACGTTTCTCATAGAAATCTTTTCTCTGTGAAAATATTAAAGTTAGATCATTTTCCAGTTTTGAAGTAGAAAATGTTTTATCTTTGAAATGGTTGTTTTCCGTTGCCGCTTAATAGATGGCACAAGTAGAATGTATAAAATCATAGAATTTCTCAACCCCGGTATTAAGGGAGTATTGAACCGTACCGCGTAGGGTAGGATTCGATTGTCGGGGAAGGAAAACCGGGTGGCGTTAGTGGTGGGGGTCATCATGTTCACCAACGAAAGACCAGTAGCACGAGAATACCGAAAGGGTGAACTTATATAACCCATGGAAACCCCTCCACGATAACCAAACCACCTCAATAAACTATTCCAGAAAAAAATAATCACAGAAAACCATCCCAAAAAAACTAAAACTATTTTCTATATTTCTACATTTTCACCTTCATCCAACAAAAAGGTAATTTTCCGTCCCTTTTATCCTTATTCATATCCATTGTGATTAATTTAAATTAACGCGCGACGGCAATTTACATCAGCCCGTCGACGACGGGGTTTTTAAGCGCAATTAACCCTTCATTTTAGTTGGTGAATGTGGTTGGTGTCCAAATGCAACAGTTTGATGAGCCGGTTGTATGAATAATAACTGGTCGGAAATTGGACGGGGACCGTTCTAACTATGTGTACGGGAGGTGCGCGAAGTGGTTTAGGGCCCTCCGGGGTATGTTCGTGAAGGACGGCTCGCCACGGCTACCCGAACATCGTCGTACAGTTTCTGGAGGAGGATCAGCAAGATTATTAGGCAAAAAGAACCATCTATTAGGTTCTTATCGACGGCGACGGCGACCTCGTCATTGGTTTAATTGCACCAGAAAAAATCACGATGACGAGATTTTTCTTCTTCGACGTTTTGAGATTTGCAACATCAGTGATGGTTGGAACCATCGTCTTGAGCGTTGGTTGCAATGATGTTGTTGTTGACGATCCTGCCAAAGCCCAATTCGAAGCTGCCTTTCAAGGTAAAAATAAATCAAATCTAAATAAAAAATTTAAACATATTATTATAGTTTAACGTCACCGTTTGATTCATTAAATAGGGGTGAGAATCATTAATGATAAATGAATTAAAATCGATTGCGTTCGATAATAGGCAATCAATTTCCTCTTGTTATAGTTTAATTGGGAAATTAATGTGATTTTGAACACAAAACCGTCTATTATCTTCAGTGGCATGTAAATTGGGTACGTTCCTCGTTATTGTACTAGACTGAACGTACTTAGAAAATTAAAATCCTTCTGAAATTGTTTATATTGCATCAAATTAGGTGTACCTGCTTAAAGAGTGTTTTAAAACCAATTTAAGTTCAATAACTGATTTAAAACGCAAAAAAAATATCTCAAAATGGTTTCAAAGTTGGTTTTGAAAAAAGATTGTGTGTTAATTTCAACCCTTTCGGATCAATATCCGATTATTGAAATCAAGAAGTAATTTTGCATTTTATTACCAATTTTTAATCCAACCCAACTTGCCGGTAGCTTATAGTTGTTGCAATCTCGTAATTTATGATGATTTGGAGTTATTACTTCATAACACCAGAACTGATTAACTATCAACATTTCCAAATTATCGGACATGGTCTTTAAAAGCATGATTACGGATGATTCCATAAAATCATTAAACGTATATATTGAAACGAACGACTATATTTTACATATGAAGCTCGTAACTGGGCTATTGTACTATGAGGTGTTTCTTCTACGGCTTCTATAACTATATAAATCTCGGAAGAAGAATGCTGTAGTTTGTATTTGTGCTGCAAATGAAAGGAGTGACCTACTTTTAACAATAACTAATTAAAGCTCTGAATTGAGGCTATACCTATAAGACTGAAACTGATGGCACACTGCACAAACTAATATGATTTAATTATTGAGGTACAGTGACTTCCGTAACATAGATAGGCTGAATATCGCCTACATCGAATCTGCAACAGTAGTATTATGGCTGTATATCACCTACAATAGCAAATAGCTTTACAACTGGAATATTCTGCACGTACAATTCTGCATGGTTTTAGAAGTAAACCTATAATTTATTGCTATATGAAGGTGATTTGCAGATATCTAATATTTACAAAATAGTAGGTATACAAGATTGGGCCAGAAAAGGTGTGGTTGATGTAAACATATATCGTTCTATTTTTTAGATCGTGATTTAGGGACGATTTATATATTAGATCAAGATTAACCTACATAAATAGGTATGCTATTAGTGTTACACGCAAGGTTTCCCGACATCCTTTAAATTATTAAGTAGGAATTGAAATTACTACAGGAGACTGATCAATACACTGACTCACACGTTATAATTATTCATTAAAACTACGTTATAAATAAAAACATGTGTTGCAGTTTCATCTATTTACAAAATATATATATGAAGGATGATGTGCAATAACACACAAAATACGAATTAAAAGTTAAAGGTGTAAGATCTTTAAAAATTATTTCAATAATAGTTGAAGTTGATTAACAAGACTAATAATGAAAAAATTTGCTTTGTTTTTGTGTCTCGCTTCTTATTCCCCTGGTGCTACCTACAAATTGATTGGGAGAATAAATGCATATTGCACGTCTACTTCCAACTTGAAGCACATTATGGATCACTTTTCTGGATTCCTTTGATAGTTTCTGGTTAAGTGTTTTGAAACAGTGTTTGACGTTTCGGATGCCATGTTGAAACTAAATCACCAGATATTTTGGATAATGTTATGTCGACTGATGCAGGAAGTGATCTGTGTCAGAGGAATAGACTGATGGTGAGATTTGAAAATAGGAAAGGCGGAAACTCAACAACTTGGATTCTGAGTCAAGGAGAACTTGTTGGCATTTACTTTTATGTATGTAGCCGAAGAGAGGATAAATTTTCCTAATTTGCCAAACAAGCACATACTTTAGTATACTGTTCAAACCTCAGCCTAAGATGGAGAATGTTTTAAGTACATCTGCGAAAAGTTCTCTCATCTGACAGAAGGCGTGTTTGTTAGGCATGATATACAAAAATTGATGTCCGATTCCAACTTTGAATCAGAAATGATAACTGACAGTAATTGAGAGGGTGGTTTGAAGAGTAGTTTAAATAGTTAGCTGTTTAATGAGCCCGAACAAAAAAATATGGAGTTTAACAATAAAATTGTATCTCGATTGTGTTTTAAAATAAACTTTAACGTTTTCAACTTAATGGCTTCTAAAATTTAAAATTACTACTATCATAATAATAGTTGGAATGTTATTTTTCAAGTATTTACGAAGGATTTTGAAGGGGGGATTAACTTTTATCGCCCGGAATAATAAAGAGACGCCTCTAAAGCACACAGAGCTTTACAACTCTGCGCTTCTCCGGCATCTTTTTGCGCTTATACAAAACTGGCTCGTGTTTTCGAGAGCCGAACGAGTCGTCTCTTGATGTCGATCGATAAATTTCAAAGACCTTGAAAGGGTTTTGGACCGTTATTTGCACCATATAGACGTTTTATTTGAATAGAGACTACGACGACGGCGACGACGCCAACGTTTCGAAATGAAACAGGAAATAAAAGTCCCCTCTTACTATTTCTGTGTTTAACAGACGGATTAAGAAAAAGCATTGCAAATATAAAAACATCTAAATTGCTTAGTTAAACTATTCTTAAATGCAGCTCGATTGTTTAAACGTTTCCTTTTAGAGTGTGCAAGAACGACGAGAGACGTCGTCGACGTTCAGTTCATCTGAACTACTACAAAGTCCATTAAATTCTAATTACAGCCTCTCCGTTATAGAAAACGTCACAGAACTTCCTGACAATTGCGGGGCATTAAAACTTTTGCTCATCCGCCAGACGTCAGATTAATAAAAACTTAATTCAATTCTAACCTAAAGGAGTTCGCCTTTTTGAAATACTTCGTTGAATTTCGAATTCTTTTTCTCTTTCTTACTATGCAAACATCTCCGGAACTACTTACTTTTTAATTTATAATAGGAAATTATATAGATAACCGACCTTTTAAGAAATTTAAATTGCAATTTGTGGGAGTTTTCAATTGATATTGAAAAAATAAACAATAATTTTGAAAAATTTTTACTGAATTCAAAAATTTGATAGCCTTTTGGTGATTTAGTGCTACCATTATGATATTTTGTAATTACATCAGCAATATTGGTGGAAACGTTTATCCTGAAAGTACTAATTCAATATAAATGTTGAGAACCTTCAATTAGTAACTTTTCTCCGCAATTATTCTATAGTCATGGCTGGAAGAAGATCGGTTTTATTTTCTGACGTTGTAAATTTTTAGACGACAATTAAAACGTGGACACAATTTTTTGATAACAAAACTTTTGATGCAATGCAGTGCTTTATTAAAGCTTGCAACATAGAATTTCATAAATCATGATGTAATTCGGATAATGCAAGAATTAATGTGAAATGAGGTAAACAAGAAAAATAAATTGCAGCTGACGGAAACTTTGTGAACAAGGTTCGTTATGTTTTATCAATGAAGCAACCTTTACACTGTATGGGAATGCAAACAGACGTACTGTACTGGATGCATGAAAAGTTAAATGTATTGTTTGAGGAACTATTTTTATTGAAGATACTTCAGTACGTAAAACTAAATCTGAAATTCTTACAGAATTAAGATAACGAAATATCGATGTATATCAATTAATTTCCGGGGAATCATGGAGGAATTTAATAGACGCATTCTACAATCGATTAAGGTATAGTCAAATTAACAACGGAGCACATTTTGAACACTCAATTAACCAGACATTATGTAACTATTAGCAATATAGTTGTTTTAGTACGTTATAATTTGGTTGAACTGCATTAAAAATTTAATTTAATAACAAATTTGATATAATTCTATCGCGTTTTCTGACTTTTGTCTATACTTTGTTACTTTGTATTTTGTTCAATTTTCAAATGTAATGAAAATTAGAAATATGTAAAGCTTGTTCGTACAACCGTGTCAAACCGTTTCTGACTGGCTCCAAACTCGAAATTCCATTTGTACATGTCATATAATTCAAGCAAATGCACTGACATGTGAATGAATTATTTGGCATGAGCGAAACTATAAGAAAAGCTATAGTAACCGAATTGTACTTAATTGCGTATTTAACGCAAAGTCCATACCACGAGTAACAGGAATGACTCATCGTTTAAGAAACGATAGGCAACCAAATACACGTAGGATATATATGTGTTTAATTATAAGAAAGCGACTTTATTTTTATTTTACACTAAATAGTATGACAAAACTTGAAAAAAGGACTACAATACATTTCATAAATACAAATACATACCCCTAAAAGAAAATATAAAAAATAATTGCTATTTGCAATATACTTGAATTATTAACATTATATATTTATTTCTCTATTGTTGTAATCTTACTATAACAAGTTCCTTTATTCGTCCGCTTTCAGGTTCAAAACTCCATCCACCATTTCATGATTTCCTCCTCCCAGTGAGCTATGCATTTTGTCCAATTTTCAGCTGTCACTTTATGCAGTGTCTTAGCCCATATTGAAAGAGCCTTTTCAGCTATATATTATCTTTGTGTATATGTTTGTTATAATATTCTTTGCAATTCGCCCAACCAATTCAATAGGATTCAATTGACATGATATGGAGGTAATTTAATAACTTTTTGATTAATTGACAAATTCATCAATTTCTAATAAGTTGCCCCTTGCCCATCAATTAGCTATCACTTGGCGTATCTAAATTAGAAAGCAACGTTCATAACGTAGTAATCTGCTTTTTGACACCTATCTTGTCTTTTTTGAATTTTAATGCCTATTCTTTCTTTATGCCTATTTAGAGCATTATTTTCATTTTTTCTTACCACAGCGTTACCGAATATAATAAAATTTTATTCATGTTATCTGACGCAGTTACATATATGGTAAAAGTTGCATCTAATATCAAGATTTTTTATTCGAATTTAATTAATTGCACTTGCTTAGCAC